ACGATACTACAAATATATAAAATAACATAATCGCGCACGCGAACTTGTTCAGCCTGCTTGACCAAGCACCGATTTATACAATTCGTTGAACTTATGCGTACGTTTAACACTTTTCGGATCGTACACGCTCGTACCACTTGTTTGAACCGACGTCGAGACAGGCTGGTTGCCTGGCCGAATCTAATCTGTGCTACTTGTCGCGTCGGACGGTGATTTATGCTACATGCTCGGCGAACCTATAGCTCGTACTGTCCGCCTAATCCTGCTACGATCTCCACCGCGTTTGCTCATTCTACTTGACCAGTTCTTATTTCTCCGATTTAATTCGTCGCGTTTATTGCACGAGGAATGGCCATTCCTCTTTCTGCAATTTGTCTCGAATCACGGCGCTCGTTCCACGGCGATCGTTTTACAAGAAAATAAGGGATTTTATTGCACCGTGTCACTCATAAATCCCTGCCGCCTGCCGAGTCGTCTCGCCGTAACAACGCGATCGCAAAGCAACAATGCGCGCGGTGCCTCCCCTAACTTCTTATCCGCTGTAATTGCGTTGCATTACAAAGGGCGAGGGCCGGTGAAAAACCGTCCGAGTCACGTGCAGACCGAGACGATTTAATTCCTTCTGCCACGCGTTCCGGCTCGCGGCCGGCGAACAATAAACGGGCCGTGGCCCTACCGAGGCAAATGAAAGAATTTTCATAATTAATCCTCGCCCCGTTACGTCTCCGTGTAACTGAACGATAACGTCGCCGGACGAAAATTAAGCGTCTCGGCCTCGTCCAGGCCGTTTCCTTTCCTAGTACTTCTTTTCTCGAGCGACGCTCGGCCGAGCGATAGCTGCGACGTCGGTGGCCCGTGTAGTCGCCGGCGCGCGCGCGCGCGCGAGACAAATTGACATTGATAAATTCTCTTTGTTATAAAGCGATACATCATCCCCACGCCAGGCCCTCAGAGCTCGCCCCACCGAATCGAATTATTCAGAAAATTGCTCGTCCGCTGTTGCTGCGTCGCGTCGGCGGCGCTCGACCCTTCGCCGCAGAAACGTCTCGAAAACTCCACGTTTAACCGTCTTGTTGCTACAAATGTAGCCGCTTTTAGAGTCCCGCGATCCCTGTCAAACTCCTTACAAATCCCTTCGGAAAAAACGACTGACTCAGAAATGTGTTTGATATTTTCATAGACTTATAACTCGTTAGTTATTAGAAATTATTATAGATTATAGTTATAATAAGTAACGAGTTGTAATCGTTAACCATTAAACAAATTACTTTTTTAATTAATCAAACGCCTTTTAAATCGCAATAATCTTTTTTAATGGACTAAATGATTTGCACCTTTTTAAGATGTTAGACTAGTTTACTAAGTAGTCTAAAGAATTTTTTTTAAATATTGTAGTTGGTAGGAATTAACAAAAATAAGAAACTCGCGGTTTTAACTTTTTTTAACGAAAATTTAAACAATGCATTTTGTAGATCTCGGTGTCTTATATGCACACAGAGAATTTTCTCGAAATCAGTTAACGCTGTTATGAGCTACAAACAATTAAAGATCTACAAAACACATTTTTAAATTTTTGTTATAGTCTCGAATAAAAAAGTTGCGGAACTATATTTTTACGTTTTCGTCATTTCAAGTAATAGTAAAATTTAAAAAAAGGAAGATATTTTAATCATTGTACAGTAAACTAGTCCCCCTAACATCGCCGTAAATTGTACGAGTAACTGTATTTGTCTTCTTAGAATGTCCAGAAAAGAGCGCAGTTGGAAGTTTTAACGAACAATAACAATTCAAAGAAGTAACAATTAAAAGACGCATCGATTAAAACAAATAGTAAACTAGTCCCGGTAACATCGCCAAAAAATAATACGAGTCACTGTGTTTGTCTTCTTAGGATGTCCAGAAAAGAGCGCAATTGCAAGTTCTAAAGAACAGTAACAATACAAAGAAGTAACAATTAAAAGACGCATCGATTAAAAGACGCATCGATTAAAAGACGCATCAATTAAGAGAAATAGCAATTTTTGTTAACCCATTTGAAATATCGTGTTCCATGTGATCTCATAGACGCAACTTGCGTTACGAAGAAGTTCGTTGTTTAAACAACGGAGGACAAACGTCGAGAATTTCACGCCGCGTGCAACGACGGAAGAACACGCCCCTCTTCTCGACCACATTTATTTTGAGACAGCGCCCGCCACCCTCGCGATTTATGCTCGCAAATCGGAGGCTCTTTGATCCAGTCGCCTCGACGTCCGTCTATGATCGAGCACCTCGCAGAAACGAAATTTCCCCGGAACCCACCCTGTGAAATGCAAAAGCGCGCCTCGTCTAAGACCCTTTCAACGACTCGCCGAGGTGCTGCCGGCTCGGTCGGCAGCGCGAGACAAATATTGGCATGAAAACGCCGCGTGTTTTCTGTTTCGTTGCGGGGGAAACCGGTTGACTGATCGCACGAATTTTTCGCACACTTTCTAAGTAATTTCGTCCGAGATGATATCTCGTGAGACGAGCTACGTGCTTGAAGAACAGGACGATCTGCGAACAAGTAGCAGACTACATAACATTGTTGGTGATTATTTATGATTTCGTAGTAAATATTTAATAATATTAATATTATAATCTATAATATTATATCTACATATAATAAATATCTATATATATAATATAATAAATATAATCTATTATCTTAATATTATAATACATCTCTTAATAATATATCTTATATTAATATTATAATATTATAGTATTATAATATATATTTTTTATAATATTAATGATATTAATAATACTTGAATCAATCGAATCAAACGAGTCTGTTGGGTTACATTGACCATTTTTAAATTGTTAGTCAAATTTTCCACGACAAGATAGAATGTTTAACGTAAAACAAGCCAACGTAATAAACACAATACGAACATAATCGGTGAAGTAAGAAGTCTAACATGTACGTGATCGATAAAATAGAAACCTTATTTTGTTTCTTCCGCAAGTAATGGTGACAAATGAATTTTTGGAGATTGTTAATTAATTCTAATTGCACATCTGATGCAAGAAGAAATACTGCTGCAGTTAAAGAAAATAACGAAGAAGAGAGGGCACGGTGAATAATGACAGTTCCAACAGTGTATGACGAATTCGTCTCGTCCATTATTTAAGAATGCATTCACTCGACGATACAATTAAGATCCTTACATCGGCGCACAATACGTTCTTTATTTCTCTTATGTTATTTGCAGTTTTTTATTTCGATAATAAACTGTCCAATATCTGGCACGAATGCGCTTCTATTCTCAGGAACAAAACTATCTCTTATCTGACCACGATCGTCCAATTCTACTTATCTGGCCTATTCCACTTGTTTGGCTATCCACCTATCTATTCTACTTGTCCGACTACAGTCTCCTGCTTCCACTCGTCTGTCTGCGAGCCATCCTAATCTACTTATCCAGCGTCCCTTTACCGTCCGATAACACATCGACCTATTCTACCGATCCGACTGCAAGCTGTTCGTGTCCGCGTTTCTATCTATGGTCCCTACGCTCTTACCTACGGTTTGATTGTTTACGGAGAACCTTTATGCAAATTCTCCTTTGACTAAATCTGTTTGCGAAATCCGGTATAAAGAAATATCTGACATATGCTTTCCATAATCCAAGTTGAATCGTTCAAATGAATAATTATAATAATTATATAATATTCAACTAATCGTTGAATACAATATTAATGGAATTGCGATGAAAATATCCAGCTCTCTCGATCTATTCGCATAAATTACGAGAGAACCCCGGTGAACACCGATTTTCATGAAACTGCACAAGTGTTTAAAACTTTGACCGTCGCGTCACCAATATGTGGGCGCGACGGCATTATTTACTCAGATTTGAAAATTAATTTTTACGCTGATCCATTACAATTTCCTAATTTTACTCAGATTTAAAAATTAATTTTTACGCTGATCCATTATAATTTCTTAATTTTACTCAGATTCGTAAATTATAAGAATGTTGAAGAAGGAATTGAATATCATACAACTTTACTTTACAATTTTCACTTCAGCAAATAAAATACTTTGGAATTATGACATTTTTTGAGGTTGTCGCGTGACAGTCAAAGTGTTAGACATTGCTTAAAAAGTGCTGATAAATTTCAAACGCTACGTGACATCCAGAAATAATTCAAGTAAAAGTTGCACAGGGTGTCCCAAAATTATGGTTCTTCCGAGAAATAAGGGGTTCCTGAGATCATTCGAAGTAACTTTTTCCTTTAGAAAAATTTTCTCCGAGGTATCGTTACCGTGTTATTAACGGAAAACAGTGACCAATGGGAGGCGAGATCAGCTGGCGCGAGGCGTGCGAGCGGTCGAAGTCCAGTTCCGCTCATTGGCTTAGCCGCCTAGCGCCAGCCGTGCTCACCTCCCATTGGTCAGTGTTTTCTGGTAATAACTCGTGAACAAAGCCACGGATTGCATTTTCGCTAAGGAAAAAGTTACTTCGAATGACCTCAGGAATCTCTTATTTCCTGGAAATACCATAATTTTGGAACAGCCCGTATAAATAAAACTGTGATAACAATTCTTTTTTAAAAGTTATTTTTTTAAAATAACTAATAATAATTAATAAATAATCAATAATAAATACTTAATAATACTAAAAATACGATGCAACTTTTATTTGAACTATTGTTGACTAGCTTTCGTTATTTGCGATTTGAAAATCTATCGAACACACAGTCTTCATCAAAGTTTCATCACAATCCTCTCTGTATTTCAGTTAGCACGACCGTTTTCTTGTGTTCGATCTTAACCTGGCCATCGGTCATAGTTGCGTAGTCGTTTCACCACGTTGTTCACAACGTGAAAGCTCCGTCATCATTTCTAGTCGCGCATTAATTATCATAACTCCTTCGTCATCGTTTTAGTCGGTCATTCGAAGCGGCAATTTCCGTTCATACATTTTCGTTTCGACGTGACACTGATACCACGTGAACGAACGTTCTTGCAGTCAGCCCGCTCGACGTCAAGATAATCGGAGCGAACCAACCGCTGTCAGCGGGCATGAAGTACGAGCTGGTGTGCACGACTTCCGGTTCCATGCCGCCGGCCAATGTGACTTGGTGGAGGGACAAACAGCGTTTGGTCGGCTCCAAGGAGACCGTAAGTAAAACTACCGAGTGTAAATCAAAGTCGCAAACTCTCCCCTCGAATCTGCGAAATGTCCTATGATCGAGTCCCGCAATAAAACGAACTCATATTTTTACTAAATGCTATCCGGCCGGACTCCCCTCCGTAGAATAATTCCCGTGGTGCGTTAACCAGTTAGCTGTGGCGCCTCCATTTCAGAGCGCGCACCTATATGTGTCGCGAGAATCAAGCGACGACGAGTATACTCGTCGAACGCAATGTAAGCGTCGCTGTTAAAATATTGGATCAAAAAGACAGTTTTATTTGATAAAATTAACAATTTTATTACTAATATTTACTTATTCGCTTGACGTTAACATATACCATATACATAATAAACGAAAAACCCAGGGATAATCAAATACTTATAAAAGTTAAAAATTCAAATTGCTGCTGTAGAGAGAGTGGTATTTAGCAAAGCAAGGAACAATATATAATGGCACTTTGCACGTCGAACACCAATACCGTGATTCTTTTCTAATTTTATTTTTATAACAATGTAAACAACTTCGTGCAGGATTGGCCACAAAATATTCTGAACATCTTGAAATTTGAGAATATGTTTTTGTTTTCCTTAAAATTATAATTTAAATAGCCAATGGTCACTACTTCTTACGCACGACGAGCATACTCGTCATGTCACAAAATATTGCCATTTCTCCATAACGAGTATACTCGTCAAACACAGCTAACTGGTTAACTTATGCGTTTGAGAGATCGCACTCTGATCAGAAGTCGCGAGTAGACTGGAATTTTTCTATGTAGAATATTCCACGGTGAACACTTCTTCGAAATGAACACTGTTCGTAGTTTATCCGAGAAGTCCGTCGAAATCTATTTTTACACAAGCTGTTCGATTTTAATCTATATATGAAGATAACTCATTAATCGTCCACTGTATAAAAAATGTTTCCCACAAAAATGAAACGGTTTCGAGAGAGCAACACGATGACACCATTAATTTGTCCGCAAGTGGACGCGTATAGAGCAAATACAGGTCAAGTTTGTTTTTTTAAATGAAATCATATAATTTTGAATACACTTTTATCACACAAAAAATATCTCTCTCTCAAACCACATATGGCAAAAAATTATTAGTTTACGAGACAGTTAAGTGTGAATATTGCAATACCGTATAAAAGAACATTCGTGAGAGCCAGTGTCATCCTGTAGCAATCAATATCCATACGACTACCACTTTGCAATATTTAAACTCAAATATCTCGTAAACTGATAACTTTCTGACTATTATAAAATAAATATTTTTTTTTGTTCAGAACGATGAACTGAATCGATAAATAAACATACAAAGTTGATCTTCATTTGCCCTGTACACATCTACCTAATGATGAACAAGAACGTTAAACTATTTTTCGCATTTCCGGATTGCGAGACATTTTTGGGACATCCTGTATATACAGTATCAGACTCTGTACAGTACACATCAGACTCTGCCGTCCAGAGAGATAGCCTCGCGCAGAATTCAGCCGTACCTAAAAGGTTAAGACAAGCGCTATCACGCTGTTCGGCATTTTTCGACCGTGTTTTCTGAATAATCGCTGGGACTCAAACGGTTAACACGTTGAATGCCACGAGGGTCACCGGTGACCGGCACTTAACTTGGCGGTGACGTTATGGGATCCATCGGTGACCGGCGCGCCCAAATTGGTAGAAATATATATATAATTTAAAACAAATGTCAATGTCTAAAATTTTTTAGTATTACCATTGTCAATTCAAACAGTGACCCTCGTCGCAATTAACATATCAAACATGGTTATATGGCAAACATGGCTATGGGATCCACCGGTGACCGGCGCGCCCAAATTGGTAGAAATATATACAATTTAAAACAAATGTCAATGTCTAAAATTTTTTAGTATTACCATTGTCAATTCAAACAGTGACCCTCGTCGCAATTAACATATCAAACATGGCTATGGGACCCACCGGTGACCGGCGCGCCCAAATTGGTAGAAATATATACAATTTAAAACAAATGTCAATATCTAAAATTCTGTATTATTACCATTGTCAATTCAAACAGTGACCCTCGTCGCAATTAACATATCAAACATGGCTATGGGACCCACCGGTGACCGGCGCGCCCAAATTGGTAGAAATATATACAATTTAAAACAAATGTCAATATCTAAAATTCTGTATTATTACCATTGTCAATTCAAACAGTGACCCTCGTCGCAATCAACATGTCAAACATGCTAACTTATCTATTGCAGATAATATTTCAACATTATATGTATCACATAAAATAAAATTCATCACGGGCAATTTCTGTAAAACCGGCGTGGCATTCGACGTGTTAAGAAAACAAGAACGGAAGGTGTATTGCGGTGGTGCACAGGTATCGCTGGCCCGGTTTGGCCAGGTGGAACACGGTAGAGGAATGGCCGTGAGAGCGCACCAATGAGATTCGATTTAGCATCGTCGGCGCGTGCATTCAGCGCAATTTGTAATCTCGGCGCGGTCCCTCGAAGGTGCCCTGGGATAGATGCTTACGCGTGGGATCTCGTGTCGCATTCTCTCCCCTGCGTGCGCGATACCGTGCCGGGATATCGTTATCTGGGCCCGGGCCGTCGCGCCGCGGGCTTAAGCCGCGCTGAAAGCGCCATTAGACGGCGAATAATTTAAATCGCAGTAAGCCAGTAACGTGATAACGCCGCGCCTATACTCCGCGGTCGAGTGTATGCTCTCGTTACGGCCGCGTAATTAAGCTAAATTGGCCCGCGGCTTCGGGGACGACGCGTCGCCAATTAATTAGCCACGGACGGACGTCCCGCGGAACGGAAAAACGTATCGAAGGCATTCCGCGGCCAATTCGAGAGTGATTAAGCGTTCTCCGTAAAGGAACTAAGTGCCCTTCGCCGGTCGAACTTTCGTGCCTCGGCGCGGTCATTCTCGTGTACACGGTGGCGCTAAAGTACCGGAACATCTTTGTGCCTGGAAAATTATAATAATCTCGTCCAGATAGTCTAATGTGCTGACCTGAAACTTTTCGGAAGTTCAATTGCTTTGGTCGTAACAATGGACTACAATGGCTCACGAAAGTGTTCGTACACATTTTAAAACGCAATGACTATTTTAAAACTGAACTAAATGATTTGAATTCCTTTTTACGGGATAGAGAGATTAGTCTACTAGACGATGACTGAAATGGTTTCGTTTAATTTTGCTATTATTTGGAATGAAATGAAAAAATTAATATCCTTGGTATCTCAACTTCTTTATCTGAGCCTGTAATGAAAATTTAAAAAATGCTTTTTGTAGATCTCGGTAACTTATATGCGTACTGAACATTTCATCGAAATCGCTTAATCCAGACTCGAGCTACAGGCGTTGAAGGATTTAAAAAACATTTCTTACAGTTTTTTGATGAAATCGCGAAAAACTGCGATTTTTGCGACCTTTAATAATGCGATTTCGATAAAATTTTCAACATGCAGATGAGTTACCGAGATTTATGAAAGACGTTTTTTTAAATTTTCGTTGTGGGCTCGGATAAAAAAGTTAAAAAACGAGAGATCTTCATTTTTTTTTTTCTTCATTCCAAATAATAGCAAAATTTGATAAAAGAAGCATTTCAGTCATCGTCTAGAAGACTAATCCCTCTATCCTCTAAAAAATAATTCAAGTCATTTAGTTCAGTTTTAAAATAGTCATTGCGTTTTGAAAGGTGTACGAACACTTCTGTGGGTCACTGTACGTCTTCTACATTTTGTATACTATTTCGACGACATAGTTAATAGAATTATGCGAAGAAATACGCTATGGAACCAAATATTTTATCAGAGAAAGATTCCAAGACCGAAATTCTCAAAGATTTTTCATACGTTCGACTGGTTGCTGACGAAAAAACCTTTACAAAAACACTGATTTTGATCAAGACATTGTTTCCGTATCAGCTTCCATGGTTACGGTACTTCATTAACCGTTTGCGTACCAGATGGTTCTGAAAAAACAGGATCGAAAAGCACCGAAGAGCGCAATAGCGCTCCTTCGATTATGTGTCGAAAAAAGCCGTAAAACATAAAATAAAACGTTATGAATGAAGATATATATACTATTAATTTAGAATAGGTAACAACAAAATACAAATTGGATTACTGACAGCGATGCGACGCGCGACGTATACACGCGTCTGAACGACTGAGCACGTTTCGACAAATTTCGGGTGGGCCGTAAGTCGTCTGTTTTGGCCAAATGCCCCGGCTTTTCTCGACACAACATCTGAAGAGCGCAAAAGTGGCTCGCGTGGTACGCAAGCGGTTAAATACACGCACCCTTCGTAGAGACTATTTTTAGGAAATGTAAGTGTTAACGAACTGAGGCCAAACAGTTTCAACATTTTTCAAATATTTCTCGCAATTCAAGTAGAGAAGAATTACCATGAATGGGACACACACACTAACGTTATATCAAAAATTGTGAATCTAACTATAATAAAATTATACTAATTTTGTAATTATATTATGCAATTAGAGTTATTTATATATATATATATATTATTAGAATTTATATTTATATTATATTTTTTTATATTATTAGAATTATTCTATTAATTTGCCAAAGAGTGAGGAACACAATATACAATACAAAGAGACAGTAAATTCGTACACAATTAGTTCTGTAGTCGTAAATCGAAATCGTAAACCTTATTAGTAAGTCGTTCGTTCTGCGACTAATTCTAATTCCGTATCGTCAACCGTATCGTAAAACGTATCGTAAACCGTAATCGTGATCGTAATCGTATTCGTGAGCGTGGCCCTAATTTGTGCGTCGACGTTTGCCGCGTTCGTCGCGTTATGCCGCGTTCTACGCGGGCGCTTCCTTTTATCGGTGCGCTGGTCGAACGTTACGAACCTTCTGTCGAAAGCAGCGCCTGACGCTCGCCGACCGTGCTGCTGTCGCGACCTAAACATCGCGGCGTTCATGCACGCACGCACACGTTCATCGCGTGGGATTAACGCACGAGAGTCCACGAGCACCGAACAGATGTAATGATTTCGCAGATCGTCTACAAATCCTAACGTGCTCGCGGATTCTCGTGTCGTTAACCCTTGGCTCCTATACATATTCAATCACACGAAATTTGAAACCGCTACCAATTAATATCTAACTATATTAGACAATTCATTTGTTTATGCTTGAAAATAATATTTTTCCTTTTTGTCCCGTTAAGTTGTATGAAGTACTAGTATTTTTGTTGAGTTTTCGTTTATTGTATTCGATCAGATATTTCTTCAAGAATAGCATCGACATATAGCATCGGATAGAATTTTTCATCATAGTGATTAAACAAGTTAAATTTGCAATCTTGTTGCCAAGTTTGCGAACGGGACACGCAGAATATTATAGGTACGAAATGGGTAAATAAAACATGCGGCGAAAGGGTGCCTTAAACATTTCTTTGCTTATTGTGTCGTTAATATTTAAATTAAGGATTTAAGGAACTTTTGTTAATTTTGTTCAGTTTCTGTTTATCGGAAGGAATATTTGTCATAAAGTAATAAAGTCTGATGTTGACCCAAAAAGATATCAAGAGTTATGTAATATAAGATTAGCATTCACTTTTATATGTGCTTGCAATGAATAAAAAAACAATGCTTATCAGATTAACACCAATATCACTTTTACCATTATTAGTACAACAATTAAACGTAGAAGGAACCACATTGACGCTATGCATTTTTGTAGTAAAATAACTGATCTTTCGAATGTTTTAAACTAAACTTAGATAGGTCGTTTAGCCTTCTTGTTATCATGTCCCAAATAAAAGTGCCCCATTCATGGTTAAATTCCCTTACATAAAATATTTAAAAACGAGACTTTTGTTCAAATTGCTCCGGAATGAGAAGTTGTTCAACCTCAAACGACAAACCAGTCGCAAGAAAACGTCCTTACACAAGCGCTGGACTGATATTAACCTCTTAGGCACGGCTGAATTTTGCGTGGACTGTTACTCTGTACGGCAGAGTTTGACGCGAATTACGCGTAAACAATACAGCATTGCAATGTGTGACACTGGCGTATCAAAAACAAAAACTATACAGGATCTCCCACAATTATGGTTCTTCCGAGAAATGAGGAAAGTTATTTGAAGCAACTTTTTCCTTAGAGCAAAAATGCAATCCGCGGTTTTGTTTACGAATTATTAACGAAAAACACCGACCAATGAAAGGCGAGCACGCCTAGCGCGAGGCAGCTCAGCCAACGAGCGCACGGAGCCCAGTTCTGCAGATTGACTCGGCCACCTAGCGCTAGGCGAGCTCGCCTCGTATTGGTCGCTTGGCTCGACTGGCGCGAGGCTGACCAGCCAACGAGCGCGGAGCCCAGTTCCGCTGATTGGCTCGGCCGCCTAGCGCTAGGCGAGCACGCCTCTCATTGGCCACTGTTTTTCATTAATAACTCGTAAACGAAGCCGCGGATTGCATTCTCGCTAAGGAAAAAATTACTTCAAATGACTTCGGGAATCACCCCTTTCCGGCTGTTAACATAATTATGGAACACCTTTTACAGTGACGCATCGTACCTACGAGGTTAATTACAGATTAGCGCATAAATCGCAAGGTGTATAATTTCCCCCTGTCTAACATCCCAACAGCCGAAAAATTGTTGCGTCACGCTACGCAGACATTTCCGGGAACGCGCATGTCGGTCTCGTTCTGCACGTATATCGCAGTTCCTTTGAAAAACTTTCATCAGCAATATCGTCCCCAAAAGATCGGCCGGAAACGTCTATCAATTCAAACAGGAAGTATTCACCGAGAAGGATGCTTGTTGCGAGCGTGTTAGGCGGACGGGATGGGCGAAATGAAACTTTCCAAACTGGGAGGAAGATTACAAGAAAGGATGAGAAGAAGAAGAAGAAGAAGAAGGAGAAGAAGAAGAGGGAAGAGAAGGAAGAAGAACGATCTCGTTTCCTCCGACGTTCTCCTATAGGTTATAGGAGTTCCCCGCCGTATTTCTTCTTACGCCTCATCCTCTTTTGTTTAACTTTCTTATATAAGCGGCACAGCAAAGTCTTACGGAATGAGAAGCATCGACTTCGGAACAATATTTTCTATGTTTCCTTTCTGGCCGGTTTAACCGCCCGCGTGTTCGCCGCGGCGTACGCTGCCGCTCAATCTCTCCGCGGCTCAAATATTTATATCTTGATTAAGTAACACGGTAACGCGAAAGGAATTTCAACGAGGGAATTAAAATTTCTAATTCACAAGATGTGCCGTGCGGAAGGTGAGTGTCAGACGATGGAATTACCATTTTGTTCGCCGTGGATAACGCGTAATTCAGACGGCCGCCGGCCGAGGAAAAAGGGCGAAGACTTTAACGAAGCCCCCGGTAATTCCAGCCGGAGACCCGTGGAAGCGCGCGGGTAGCTTCGATACACGCGGGTTAACGATAACATATTGCTATATTATCGTCGGGATAATGGGAAACAGTGGTGAGGAAGTTTCGTTGCCTCCCCGGCCGATAAATCACGAGATACTCTTCCTCCTCTTCGGCCTTTGTCTCGCCGAGAAGGCGCGAAAATAATTAAATCATAGAATCCCCGAAGAACCGGTATCCATCACGGTCATCCTGCGGACCTGATCAATAATGATCAGGCCTGGCCTAAGGTAATTTGCGGAGAACGCCTCAAGTTTCTCGCTAGAAAAAATTTAGTAGAGATATTTCTATCAAGCTTGCACATCGACTCGAGATAATAACGCAAGGCCGGTGACTAGACTTTCTTCCTCAGCTTCATTAAAATATCAAGACGATAGCAAAATCGTAACTAAATTGCGGACTTTGCGCATTTATGACAAAAACGAGTAGCTGGTATGCATGATTGGAAAGTACTGTTTCATATTATTGTGAAACACGAGATTCTTAGCATAATCTGTTGATAACGTACTTATGTTAATTCTTTGCACTCGAAGCCATTTTAATTGAAAACCGAAAATGGTTGTTCCGATCTACGGCATTTCCATTTTATATGACTTAGCGCATTTTATGCATATGAAATTGAGATGTGATTCATACAACAGTTACACTTTCGACAGTTTTCTAAATATAAAAATATTTAAAAATGTAAGAATATTATTTTGGGATATGATATAAGAATTTTTAGCGGTGCCGCAGAGTCGCCAATCGAATGCAAAAGTTAGAACTTCGAAGTGAGTTTTTCATCACTAGATTGCGGATTTTATCCATTCAAGACCAGAATTAGTAGATCAAATACAAAACAGTAGTAGCATTTGAAGAATTATAATAATATTAGGTCTACCGGAAAGTTCTGTCCGTTTTTGAATTGAAATATAACACAATTTTCATACATTTAATAATATTTATTGTAGAATATACTTTCCAACGTTACTTATGACTTCTTGCCAGCGTGATGGCAACTTGTAAATGCCATTTTTAAAAATGATTTATTTTTAGAGGCGAAGAACTCAACTAGTGCTTGGTTGACATCAGCTTCAGTTTGGAATCTTTTTTCCTGTAAAAAGTTTTGCAAAGAGAAAAACAAGTGATAATCGGAGGGTGCTAGGTCTGGGGAGTATGGTGGATGCGGCAGAATTTGCCAACCTAGCTCTGCGATTTTCTGACGAGTCGCCAAAGCAGCATGTGGTCTGGCATTATCATCGGTAGCCATGTTTTCACGATCGCGTCTCACTTAATAATGACATGAGACATCTTTGTTTCAGTTTATTTAGGAGAGTATATGTGTGTAAATGCAATGATAAAGAGAGATAGTCATATATGTCTGAAATCAACATGTGCATATGGATTGAAACTTGAAGTGACACTATCGGACAGAACTTTCCGGTAGACCTAATACTGACGAAAAGAGAAACATATGTTTACGTAGCTCTTGAATCTTGCAATTAACGCAGACAGTTTTTATTTTGCATCGAAATCCGCAGTTTAGCTCTCTTAGAGGCACAGGATTTCAGAACAGATTTTTATTAACAAAGAAATCACATAATATAAAAACATAAATAATAATAATAATGCAATTCAATTTGTTGTTATAGGGTGCAACTCAAATAATCTCACTGTGCCACATGGGTTCATGAATGCGCTTACAGTTATTACAATATTTCGAGGTGGATCTAAAAATGTCCCATCATGCATTACCGTGGAAAAATTTCGTCAAAAAGATGAAACATTTTTACCGTGCCCCAAACAGTTAAAAAGGACGCGTACGCGTTTGTGCGAACATTTTCCAGAGAAATACGGCTGCTCGGCGTCTGATTACAGTAATGTCTCTCTAATTGACGCATAGATTGTTCACAAAAATGGCTAATTTAGGAGGAGGAGATACGATTGTTCGAGCCTTGCGGTTCATTTTTATAGTTACGAATTGTCGACAACTATAAAAAAAAACGAGCTGCGAGGCTCGAATAATCGTATCTCCACATCCCAAATTGTCCATTTTTCTGCACAATCCGAGCGTCAGTTACGGAGGCATTACTGTACTGGAATTTCTCAGACTGATCGGTAAATCCCTCGTTGATTCATAAACGTCGAGGGGAGTTTGCGAGGTAAAAAATGACGGGAGAGAAAGGTCGATTGATAAAGAACAGCGGAAGGAAGTTATCATAATATTGTTACAGACTTCGAGCGACGGGAACACGACCACCAGCACCCTGTCTTTCAAGGCGACCAGGGCAGATGCTGGCAGACACTTGTCGTGCCGGGCTGAAAACTCAATCATGGGAACCGAGCCGATAGATGACGGCTGGGACCTCGAGATACACTGTAAGCGTATTAAAGACACACTCGAGACCCCGGTGGTGCCGGCTGGCCGTGCGGTCCGTCACGATTATTACGCTAGGCTGCGACTTATTGACGTGTTCAATTCGCAGACACGCCCGAGACAAGGATACAGCTGGGAGCGAATCTGAACCCGAACGCGATACAAGAGGGCGCCGACGTCTACTTCGACTGTCTGATCCAGGCTGAGCCGCCCGTGTACAAGGTGGAATGGCGGCACTTGGTAAACAACCTGTTTTACACTTTATTTTCATACAGGGTGTCTCAGAACTCCCGTTACGCGCGAATTTTGCCGCAATGAAATTGTTGGTTACGATTTCGTTAATACTCGAACGCCGGGATTCGGATTAATTTCTCTTCTTCTATCTTTTTTTCTTCGTTCGTACTCCGATTGTTACTGTATTTTTGTATTGTATAACGAAGGGACCATCCCGTTAAACGAATAAACATTATTATTATTATTATTATTATTATTATTATTATTATTATTATTATTATTATTATTGTTGTTATTATTATTCTGAATATTATTATTTGACAATCTGGTTTCTCACAGTTAAGCTAAATTTTCATATATTTAGTTTGTAGACTAATCATCCCGTTAAATGAATAAACATTATTATTATTATTATTATTATTATTATTATTATTATTGTTGTTACTATTATTATAAATGTTATTATTTGAGTATCTGGTTGCCCACAGTTAAACTAAATTATCATATATTTAGTTTGTAGACAAACTAACATGTCCAGAAGGTGCACCAAAAATTACGTCGAAAAAAATTGATAAGTAAGATGATAAATGAACCGAAGCATACTAAGTTATATTTTTGTTAAAAAGAATCGTTAGAGTGTTAACGAGTTATTAACGAAAAACCCTGACCAATCAGACAGCGAATATATCAGAAAGAAGCTTGGTAATTCTTTTTTAACTTTTTTATCACCGAATACGTTCACTTATGGACTAAATGAGCCCCGATAGTGGCGAAAGAGTTAAACAATGCCCTCGAAAGAAGCATCTCGGTTCACAGTTAGAATTGTTATTGCTATTGAAAGATTTCCTTGAAGCCAAATCCTCAACTGCGAACGGTGTACATTCAAAGTGTGAAATAATTGTCAGGAAGACGACAATGAGATGTTATCTTTTGCACACATAACTGAACCAGAAACAGTGACACTCTAGAGCAATCCATAAACGCAGCCATTCGTCTGTAAACATGATATCTATACTACATTGTTATCCCAACATTTAAGCGGATTCTACTTTCACCGGTGACAAATGATCCCAGTAGACCCCGACTTGCCAATAACGATCGTAATCCGCTTTGAGCGGTTCACGACCATTATCATCTGACCTACAACAATCCTGTGTCACGATTCTACTCGTCCTGAGACCGTTCGATCTAACATAATTCGCAGAATTTTGATTCCGACGAAGAGAATTTTGAGCAGAATTTTGAGATCACAGTATTTGAAATATTATCATATAATTATTAGAAATAGTTATTTGAGATAATTGTGAAATTCTTCTCGGAAATTATACGGTGATCTAATAATTAGCTCTGAACCTGGACTGTACTAACATCCTTATTTCACACTTCCATCTATTTTCTCCTGCGACAAAATTAGACGAATCCGGCTAAGATCTCTCAGAAATGAACTTTCTTTAAATGCATATTAATCCTTAGCGCTCCGCGCGTTTCTCGAGTACTGCCTACCAGCAACACCGGCATATTTTTGGAGCGGAGCGTCTGAGATAAAGGAAGTCTTATTTTGAGCGTCTTACTTTGATTACACGTCCTTGTGAATGCATTTGATTTTATTTATTTTATAAATACACATTTTCCTATTGTAAATAAAAGATAAATTTTTAATTTTGTAATTCACCATGGTGTGATATCTTTGGTAACAATCTCCCATGTGCATTCTGGGTTTACTTGGACAAGTGTCACAGTATTCACTTTGCCAAATAGAGTTACTAGATATTTCTTTCAAGTTTAGAACATTTCCTGCGTAATTGCTGGTTTCCTTTATAATTTCATTTACCAATTCGTCTGTGAAAAATAATTTAAAATATTGCATCGGCTGTTCAACGTTTGTAGGAACTTGTGGTCCAATGACCTGTGGCAATACGCTGAAAGGTATTCTATCTGGAATATGTAATTCTTCCGTAACATCACGCCATTCATCTAAGTCTTGTAACGAATCTTTGCTTTCACTTTCAATAATTCCGATTCTTCGTCTCTTTGGTAGTATAATTTCGCTACTACTACTTGAAGTGTCAGAATCATAACCAACATTGTCTTACACAATGTCTTTTAACTCTTCAAAATCAAATACGTCTTCGGTATCACTCTCAGCTCTAAATTCTCATCATAATATTTATTTTTCTCCATGTTGCTAACCATAGAAAAGGTCAAAAAATGGTTTAATCGTAATGGTACAGACTTAGCACGTTTTAACTACAGATAACAATTGCTAACGCCGACGATAACGTATGCTAAAAACATTTGGCTCCGCAACGGAGCCTTCGGAGCGCTAAGGGTTAAATAATGCATGTTATTTCAAGGACTATATCATTACGAAGAGAGAGTAAATCGATATAAAGGTTCCTTAAAATAAAAAATCATTTCCTCGCATATTATTTCGAACATCATTTCTTTTGTCGTATTTGAAATAAAAGAAAAATAACGAAACAATTGATTGCATGAAATTATTATTGTTTCAAATGGATCGATGTTATTTTTATATTCAAGTAACGGTATCGAAAACAACCAAACGAAATGAATTGAAATAGTTATCTCTTACTTTCATATCAAATAAAATTTGACCAGGTCTGAGTGCAACATTCAGAGAAAACGCATATCACTCAGACAGCGTGTCGTTCATTGCTGCTCTATTTGGTCGGTGGTGTCCGACAGGCCGTCGAGGCTTTACGGGCAACCGTGTCCTCGCATATCGGCCGCAATTTAAGAAAAGCCTATTTTCCGAGGATCAGAAAGTTTCGAAAATGGCCCATTCCCGAGCCGCGCTAGGTACCGAGAAAGTTCGCCGGTTACGAGGCAGACAGGCGCGTTCGCGCGCGGCTCGAAAGAGTCCGCGCCGTGAACCGGCAGTCTATTAGTATAAAAAGGGAAACAAAGTTCGGGCGAACAAGGTATTCAAAGTTTCGTAATAAGTTCGATCGCGTGGCCAGAGTCTCTTTTATCTTGCTGTACCATCCGACCACGAACGGAAGTGTTACGTACACGTGTACACGCGGGCCACACGTATCTGCCGTGGGCCGCCGGAACACGGAAACTCGACTGCCTTCCGCGCCAGATAGATAGAGGAAGCTTAACATATCGCCAACATTCGTTTAACTCTTGTGCCAATACCCGAAATTTTCTACCATGTTCTATAATATAAGAGACGACGTGGTTTCGGCGCGTACCTTTATGCCTCTAATGCAAATAAACTTATGGTAGACGCAGAAAGTGGAGATCTAGAGCAATTTTTCTGTTCGTTAATACTAAACCTACCGAGCACTACAAATGATTGGCGTGTGCTGTTCTATGAGAATGACGTGACTGGATCAATTTAGACATTTCGCAACTTTTATTACAACGTATGTTCGAATCGAGAAATTTATTTGATCGTTTCCTGTAAAAGAGTCTTTATAATGTCGACAATTTCGAAATCAAAAATGTGAAGTCGGTCAAAATGACCGACAAGGTGAATTTAGTTTAGTTTAGTTTAGTTACAGCAAAAGAAAGAAAGTGTGGAATGTACGGATAATATACAGGGTGTTCCACAATTATTTTAACAGCCGAAAATGAGGGGTAGCTGAGGTCATTTGAAGTAACTTTTTCCTTTGCGAAAATGCGATCTGCGGCTTTGTTTACGAGTTATTAACGGAAACCACTGACCAATGAGAGGTGACGGCGCGAAGTTCGAGAGCCCGCAGCACGATGCTTTGATAGGTGGTCGGGACGGACTCGAGCCGCGTTCGAAGTATTGAACAAATCACGAAGCGAGAACTTTCCGGATCTTTTTTACTACGTAACAGTGATATTTTTAACAAACATATCCCTTATGTCCTTTAGCACGGTTATTATTCATTAAATTAGCTTTGCGAATCATTCGTTGAACTGTGTTCGGACACGGAATTATTTAAATTAAAATATCATTTACGTACTTCGTTAATCTTCACTGCACGCCTTGCTTAAAAATTTTATATGTTGACCTTGACGTAACCTTGACATGACCTTGACAAAACCTTGATATGACCTTGATATGTCAAGGTTATAAAATATATAAAATATAGTTATATATTTTATAAAATATATTAATATATAAAGTTGTGTTGGAAGCGCCTGTGCTTCATTCTGTGATGTAAGATTTAAGTAAATCAGGATTATCGAATTATCATGATCGTCATAGAACATTTTATGCAAAATAAAAATGTTGCTACCTCGATTGCAACGAACTAAAGTAAAGTAAAAGTTTTTTCAACGAACTAAAGTAAAGTAAGAGTTTGTTCTCCTTCTTAATAGGTGTAATAGACGGAAAATAATAAAATAAAAGTTCGCTTTCTTCCTTAATAGTTTAATGGGTGGAAAATAATGGTGTAACAGCATCCGTAAAGTCTTTTAATCTTTCCACGGGCCTTTGTGTTTCGCCCACGCATATTCGTCATAAATGCATAAAATCCGCTGTCTGGTTGTCAGGTTGAAATCGCCGAAAGTTGGAAGCTGACGTTCGTTGCGCTCTGTTCCAGGGCGAGCCTCTTCATCACAACATCGCGCAGGGTATCATTATTAGCAATCAGAGCCTGGCGCTGCAGGTTGTCGACCGCAAAAGCGCCGGCAACTACACCTGCATCGGGCACAACACCGAAGGAAACGGCGAAAGTTCGCCGTTCTACTTGAACGTGATGTGTGAGTGACTTCATTGAAATAATTAAATGCTCGCGCCGCCTAATTCCATGATTACATAAAGCACACGTGGTAACAAGGGCTAATCGGTTCCCCGGAATTACTAGATGAAAGCGTTCGTTCTCTGGCGAAGCCAGACTGTTTGTTTGCCCGAGCACACGAAACATACGCTGTTCGGCACGTATGCGAACAATTAGATTATTTCTCCTATATTGTTAGCTTCCCTTCATCCCTCTCGGTTTAATCAGCATTAAATCATGTATGCACTACATTTGTGCATTGTACCTACTCAATTTTCATATTAATAATTTAACATGCAAGATGAGATTGTTAATCGCGATACGCTTTCCTCCTATAATATATCTGTTATATTATGAAAACAGTACGAAAAATGCCGAAGTTTCTATATCGTCAACAAAAAGAAACTTCGAATCGATTGACTTTGCACTCAAGACTATTTTAACGCGAGAATGAAAACGTTTCTTTCAGCTTACAGTATTTCCATTTGGTATGATTGTTTTTATTTGATAAATATGAGAAAGAATTTCAATAAAAATAGTATAAGTTATACTATTAACTGTTATTATATTAGTTATACTATTGTATAAGTTATATATATTTACTTATACTGTAAGTTATTACTTCTATTATTTGACAATGTATCAAAATTTTAATAACGTGCAAATTCTTTTGGAAATAGTGTAACAATTTTTAGCGTCGCCTCAGAGTCGCTGCTTGAGTGCAAAGGGTTAAGTATGTTTTATGTGCTCACAATGTAGCGTTTTGCCGTAATGAGTCGAAAAAATGACTTATACAGGGTGGGTCGGAGTTCATAGTACAACCGAGCAGGAGATAATTCCACCTGAAAAAATAAGAAACAAATTTGGTATAACACTTTTTTATCCAGCCCCCGTTTTCGAGAAAGTCGACTTTAAAGTTTGTTCGTCTTTGTAAAGGATTTAGTTGTCGTCTATTCTTCTACCGCAGTTGCCTCCGATCAAGATAGTGTTTACAAACATTAATTGTTGCGTACTATGTACTGTCCGTTGCTCTGAAGAAGTCCGCTGAGAAAAGCGTAGAACCGATTCCCATCAACCCGCCATACAATATTAACGCTCTCAATTATTAACACGTTCCGTGCCACGTGTACCATCCATGGTACACGCTTGCATGTTTACTTAGTGAACTGAACAAATTGTTTACAAGAAATTTAGAACCGAAGAATCAATTTCCACCGCAAGAATGGGCGTTGATAAGTTTTTGTTACGTTGTTATGTGTACGAGAATTAATAATTGCACGTAATACATCAAGTTTTAGTAAAATATCAAAGTGTGAAGATTCGAGTAAAAAAAGCTCGGCACGGAACGTGTTAACGGCTTCGCAGAAGTATGATAAACGCGTTTTCTTTATTGACAGAAATGTTCCCTTCCTATTAACCCCAAATTAGCCGTAACGCTGAATTTCCACGAAACGAGGGACTCGAGTTTGGCCGGATAAAAACAAACAACGCCTCTTGACTCCCGTCGCGTCTCGCGACTAGAAGCACGTCAGTCGCGTGTCCTGTGCTTTCTGTGGATGTGTGCGTGCGTACAATAATGTCTCTCTAATTGACGCTCAAATTGTCCACCTGTCTCTTATACACATCTAGATGTGTATAAGAGACAGCGATACAGTAATGTCTCTCTAATTGACGCTCAAATTGTCCACAAAAATGGGCAATTTGGGAAGAGGAGATACGATTATTCGAGGCTTGCGGTTCGTTTTTATTGTTACGAACTATCAACAACTATAAAAAACGAGCTACAAGGCTCGAAGAATAATCGTATCTTCTCTTCCCAAATTGCCCATTTTTGTGCAGAATCTGAGCATCATTTCTGGAGACATTACCGTATTATTTACGCGACCACGGGGCGAGCGAGACCCACGACGATAGTCACAGGAGGCGTAAAACAATCGAGAGAAAATAAAACAGACGCAATAAATACAAGATGCAAGAGCGTTGACTAATTCCCTAAAGCGTTAACTTCAGATTCTTCTGATGGACACACGATTATTTGTAATTGCTAATTAGCAATTAGCATCCTAATTAACTTTTCGTTGCATTATGCAGCAAACGTGCTGCACCATGTTCTGCTCGTGCAGTATTATGTACTCTCATGTTCGCAGGCTTGCAATGTATCATTCGAATATCGGAATTTTATGGATATCTAACATAGTCGTGAACATAAAACGTTAAGAACCTGAAGGCAATACAGTAATGTCTCCCTAATTGACGCTCAGATTGTCCAGAAAAATGGACAATGTAGTTGTTGACAATTCGTAACTATAAAAATGAACCGCAAGGATCGAATAATCGTATCTCCTCTTCCTAAATTGTCCATTTTTGTGGACAGTATGAGCGTCAATTAGAGAGACATTACTGTATCGGGAAACGAGAAAATGAAACACTACGCATAAACTAAATGACGCAAGGGGCAAAGAGCAAGGGGAATCGGTCGCCAGCTCCGCCTAGCCTTTTCCAATTTGTTTTGATTACAGACTTTTATTTATTATTGGCTACGCGCTGAACAAGAGACGTGATTAGGCAGAGCAAGCGACCAATCCCCCTTGTTCCTCACGTCGATTAGCTCGTGGATCTTCTCATTTACCAATCGAAGTGGGTTTCGTGAGGTCATGGAAAAGTGGGGATTACGGGCGTGTAGACTAAGCAGCGCGAGCGGAATACAGTATAACTGCGGTAGAAGAATAGAGGACATCTAAATCCTTGACAAAAATGAACAAACTTTAAAGTCGATTTGTTATACCGAAATGTTATACACCATATGTGTTACACCAAATGTTGTACCAAATTTTTGTTCTTATTTTTCCACGCAGAATCTAGAATCTCCAATTTAACCTCTGCTCGGTTGTACTACGAACTCGGGCCCACCCTGTATAAAGAATTCTTAAATACGTACTAGTATTGAAAGAGAAAACATTTATGAATCATCATAAGACCGCGGATGTTTATGCAAAATATAAATCGTCTAGGTTGGTCGTAAGGGATAATGTAAGCCAGATGAAAATGTCTTCGCGCTTTTAATAATTTTAACACGTCCAGCGCCAACAATCTACCGCTAAAATTCTCTCAAAGTCAAAGCAATTTAGTTAATTAAACGAGAACTAGAAAGTTAAAATATATCACGATGGATGACATTGGAACTCTTTCGTATCCGAAATATCCTAGTCAAATTCAGTTTGTTCTGAACATATTACAATGAAAATGAATGTTCAAAATTGGTCAAAAATTTTGTGTCACCCATATGTGACCGACGCGGCGCTCAACGTGTTAAAAATATCTTCAACTTCGTCCAATGTCTCCGCAGTTTCGTTTACGACCCTGCAATGTTTCACAAAAATGTATAAAATCCGTAGTCTAATCATCGTTAATCTGTCATTAATAATTTCCTATCAGATAAAGAAAGTGTATACTCGTTGTACGCGTATACTTGCTCAAATAGCCAAATATCAACAACAACAAAATTCTCATTATTATTCGAAAGAAACAAGTACAGTAATGTCTCCCTTACCGACGCTCAGATTGTGCACAAAAATGGACAATTTGGGAAGAGGAGATACGATTATTTGAGCCTTGCGGCTCGTTTTTATAATTGTTAACAATTCGTAACTATAAAAACAAAAACCGCAAAGCTCGAATAATCGTATCTCCTCTTCCCAAATTGTCTATTTCTGTGGACAATCGGAGAGTCAATTAGAGAGACATTACTGTACCATCCGTATTTACTGATCGGAATCTTCGTCATTCGTTACAAGACACAAATCGATTAATAATGATTTATTATCCGTGGAAATGATTTGCGAAGAGTTAGAAGCCGTCTAGAAAGTTATAATTCGATGAACAGCGCGATTCAAGCAGAACTTGAAGGACGGGAGGGGTAAGAGGAGGGGGCACGAACGATCAAAATAACCCGGCGGCCGATTTAAATGATAATTCCAGTCGCACCCACGTGCAAACGGAATCAAACGGAAGTCCTCGGCGTGGCGAAACAAGAAAAGGCAAACATATCCTGCCAAGTGGACGCGAACCCGCCGGAGGTTCAATTCCGTTGGACCTTCAACAATTCCGCGGAGAGTATCAACGTGGGCGCCGACCATATCGCTCGGGCTGGCACATCCTCGATCGTCTCATACACACCCATGACCGAATTGGATTACGGCACGTTGCTCTGCTGGGCGACCAATCGAATTGGACATCAACAAGTGCCCTGCGTCTATCACATCATACCGGCCGGTGAGGTATCTTTATGTGGTAATTCGATCATGCAAATTCCCGTCGACCGTGAAACCCCGCCTGTGTTCGAGCTCGATACACCATCGGCCCTCGATCAATAACCGAGCGATTTGCTGACGTACCAGCAGATAAAAAAAGACAACAAAGGAACCGAAATTGTTTAACAAATTGTGCCCCAGTTGGCGGATAACGCTCTTTCCGAACGGAATCTGTTTAGTCGCGAATGTACGGTCGCGCTTTGTAACGTGGTTAGTTATTGTTTCGTTACAACAACAAATCCCTGTTTCGGTTTAGACGCCTGTCTTCCATCGCAAGCTGAAGATACAACAACTTTTATTAGAAAGAATTTAATAACGTAACACTCGAGGCGAATGCAAACGACAGTTTAGATCGTCAACAAAATTCCACGACGCTTGGGAACGATGCAATTCGTTTTTAATACCATCGTCAAATTTTCTCCTTTTTATCTTATCAAAAGGGAGATACATTTGTTGAGGGCTTAGAGTACGCGAGAGTTCGCAAAATGAATTCGAGCTTTTGATCTGTACACGGAACTTTATTTACTCAGCGGACGGTCTTCGCCCGATCAGATCGACAGCAAGAGTGTGTTTACATCTTTTTGCCTCTGCTCGCTGGTAAACCGGGGGCGTTCTTCCTACGTCACAATTTCCTCTAATTGGCCAGCACTAAGCAGCGTGCTGACCAATCGGGTCGCGTCCTTTTCTACGACTTTTCGGCCGCGACTGCGAATTTATTACCGCGGTGACGCAATTTCCTCCAGGCCTGCTCCACGCGCGATGCGGCCGGTCGCGGATCGGCTGCGAGCCAGCTATGGGCCGTTGGGTCCCTGTGCGCGGGTCCTTTGGAAATCCTGGATTTATGATACTAGGAGTTGCTATTGAGACCGAAAACGAAAGATTCTAAAGAACGGGAAACATGCTTTCTCTTTAATACTATTAGTACACGTTGGATCGGTTTTCTAAAAAAAAAATAGCTTTACTGTTGCTCGTGTCATAAAAAATCTGTACGGCCATCGACGGCTGTGCTATGTACCGATGACCGCTACATATCCTTTTATGTTCGTTCAATTTGGGTGTAAAAGAATCGATGTTTTTTAAGTAATTCCAGCTAAGTTTAGGTGAACATCAAGTACAGCATCATGAAATTAATAGTGCACGATGGTGTTTAACCCCTTATCGTAAAATTGTCTTCACAGTTACAACGATTAGAACTTTTTCGATCGTAACAATTTCTTAAAAGAACCAGAAAATTGTATTTATTGCGTGCCTACGTTCAGTTGAATGATTTAAATATCGCCGACATGAAAATAGAATTTTATACCGTCTTAACACGTTGTGTCCCGTTGGTCACCCATGGGTGACACTAATTTTTAACTAAGTTTTAAAATCCCATTTCACTGTACCATTATATATTGGACGAACTGAATGTCAGTAGGAATTTTACATTACAAAGGAGTTAAACTAATATTTCATGACTGAATAACATTCATAATAAATATATTACTAGAAATCTTCATCACGCGTCATACTCGTCGTGAAAATTTCAAGTAATAACTTATTTAATATAGGATGCTTTTCTGTCCTTGGAATAAAATTGAAATAAAATTCTAATCTCTTGTCAACAATTATTTAAACACTCAAGTAAATTTAGCCGCACAACAAGCATCAATTTTCTTTCCCTTCTAAGAAATTCTTGCGATTGAAAAATTTCTAATCGCAGTAACTGCGAAGAAAATGGTATGTCAAGGGATTAATAAGAACACTATATTAATGATTTAGCACAGCTATTTTCCCACCTATTTCTTTGACACTAGAACCGCGTTTCCATAAAGTTGTCGAGAGTATGTATTCGTAGAAATATGTTCTTGTAAAATTACGTAAAAACACTGAACAGTTGTTCGCATTATTTTTTGAATAATTTTACAATCGCATAACAGGATACAGTAATGTCTGCCTAACTGACGCTTAGATTGTGCAGAAAAATGGACAATTTGGGAACAGGAGATACGATTATTCCTTTGCACCATGTTTTTATAATCGTTGACAATCGGTAACTATAAGAACAAGTCGCAAGGCTCGAATTCGCAAGGCTCCTCTTCCCAAATTGTCCATTTTTGTGGACAATCTGAGCGTCAATTAGGGAGACATTACTGTATCGATAACACTGTCCGACAAAATCAAACTTTTTTTCTGGGTTCCTATAGCCACTATGAAATTCTTGGAGAGCTTCACTCCCTGAACAAGAATCCGAAAACCGAACGGCTCCATCACCTTCAATTTTTTAAATAAACGAACTTTTGTAAAAACCCAAAATTTTCGACAAAAATGAGGTATTGCACGAAAAGTACAAACGTTAGAAAGTTCTAATTGGTATTAAAAGATAGAGGAGAGTTTCCCGAATATAGTCGCATGCGATGCCTCATTTTTGTCGAAAATTTTGGGTTTATACAAAAGTTCGTTTATTTAAAAAACTGAGGGTGATGGAGCAATTCGGTTTTCGGATTCTTGTTCAGGGAGTGAAGCTCTACAAGAATTTCATAGTGGCTATAAGAACCCAAAAATCGTGTCGGACAGTGTAATCTTCCAATGACATTGCGCATAACATCGAACAGAAAGGTTCAATAGTACCTGAATCGCTCAATCGAACAATTGCAATTGGATGCAAACGAATGGTAAGCGTGTTTTCGAAAAAACGTGGACGAAAGTGTTGCTAATTCGTTCAGCAGTCTTCGCAGTTCGAAGAACACGGGGAAAGAGGCGAGGGGAAAGGGTCAAGATTTTTCCGCCGGTAGAGTTTAGTGGTATTAACTTGTTACTCTCTCGTCTGAACAGCGACACGACCATTCTACTTGTCAAGACCCATAAGTCTCGCGCCGTACGTCTGACCAGTAACGGTTCCGTTCCACTTGTCTGGCCGGTGGACTTCTCAATCCTCCTCGTCCGGCTGGCCGTCGTCCCGAGCTACTTGTCCGGTCAGATGCTGTCCTGTTCTACTTTCTAACCTGTCACGTCTTTGTTCTACCTGCCCGGCCAGTCACCGTCCCATTCTGCCGAGATAATAAATAACCCCGGTGGCTTCTAGCTTGCGCCGCGACTCTCTCCCGGCAATTTTCCATTGAACCGCGAAAAAGCTTTCGCCATTTATTACGGGGAAAGTTCGCGCGATACGCGATGGTCGCGAAAACACGCGGAGTTCTCTTTTTTTTCCTCGGGCGCGGTGTCTCTCACGCAAGGGGCACGATAGCCGAGTAAAAAAATTGCTGGCCCGGATCAGACGGATGGGAAACGTTAGGGGGGGACACACAAAAATGAAAGCTCCGCGTTTCGGCGTAATTACAAAAAAATTCCCGCGGCACGTTAATCCAGAGTTGTTCGCGCTACGCTGACTTCTCAAAAGCGACAATCCCGCCGCGCGGAATCGAGGAGTTCGGAGATTAAAATGGAAGTTCGTTACGACGCGTGGTGTGCTCGTGTGCGCCGCGCCGCTGGCACGGCGCGAGGACGGCCCTTTTTTTCTGACGGCCGTCCTCGATGATCTATCGGAACGATCGAATCGCTACGATCGCCGGCAGAACCCGGCCGCAGGGAATACCGTCGCGAAATCCGAAGAGTCATCGTTTGCACTTAAGTGCTCGACGATTGCTCGCATAAATCAGTCGATTTGAAAGGGTTGCATATCGCCGTCGATGCGGAAGCAAGGACTTTGACGAAAAAGACTATTGGAATTGATTCGATTTTACTCTCGCTTGAAGCCTAGAACTTTCAATACGTCCAACCGAAAACTGGTATCTTTGAATTTTCGAGAGATATTCGATCACCGTTGCCGGATCGTTCGCACACTTTTCTACTGACTTGTCGATGATACTTGTCCGATCATCTTGTCATCAATTACTTTCGTAATTATTGATTCTACGCCAAACCTGCCGAGCACTAAAAATGACCAAAGTGCGTTGCCTTGTAAAAAATGACAAGACTGAATTTATTTAAACCGTTCGCTATTTCTCAATAGAAATTTCTCATTACAATTAATGTAAGCTTGAATAACGGAATTGATTCAATCGTTTCTGGAGGGTCTTCGTAACTTCAACAATTTGAAAAGTGAACAATGTAAGACCGGTCATTTTGATCGGCTGGTAGTGCCAAAAGTGGATGCTCTTTTGTAAGAATTCAAAGACAGTATTTATTTAGATGTTCCACCATTTTTATTGAAACGTATGCTTGAATTGAAAACTGTATCCAATCACTTTCTATGAAAAAGCCTTTACAGCAACTGTTAAACAGAAAATGTGAAATCGATCATTTTAACCCGCTTGGTACGTTTAGTCTAAATTCTTTGATAAAATGTTTGCACAATTTATCAATTTTCTCGACTTTCGTGATCCCTTAACACGTCAGCCCCCTCGGGCTGATAGTGGACTTTCCGTTTGGCAGTGTCAGTCCTCTTGGACTGACAGTGTACTTTTTTAGGGCAGCATCAGTTCCTAGGGACTGACAGCGAACCTATCGTTTGGACGGCATCGGCGCATGGGACCGGCAGTATCAAGATTTAAAAATAATGCCGGTCTGTCGCCTCGAAGGAAAACCCCTAGCAAAATCGGCTCCGCGCTTAACACTTTAACACGTTCCGTGCCACGTGCACCATCGATGGTACACGCTTGCATGTTTACTTAGTGAACTGAACAAATTGTTTACAAGAAATTTAGAACCGAAGAATCAATTTCCACCGCAAGAATGGGCGTTGATAAGTTTTTGTTACGTTGTTATGTGTACGAGAATTAATAATTGCACGTAATACATCAAGTTTTAGTAAAATATCAAAGTGTGAAGATTCGAGTAAAAAAAGCTCGGCACGGAACGTGTTAATGGCCGCATATCTACGCTGTCAAAGGTCGCCAGGGGCCAGCAATATTTATGTAAATTCATGAAATAATTCAACATGTGCGAACATACACGTAAAACAAAAATACAACAATAACCACACATTTAATACAACAAATTTAATATTTTCCCTTTATGTGACAATTATTAAAGCAATAGCCTACATAATTATTAACCCTTTGCGCTCGACGCCACTTTAACTCGGTATCCAAAATAGTTTTTCTCACATATAGTATTTCCATTTTATATAACCTAGTGTATTTTATACATTTGAAATTGAATGTTTTGTTTACACTTTGCACAGTATTTTCAAATATAAACAGTTTTGATAATGTTGACATTATTTTGAAACGAGATGTAACCATTTTTAATGGCGCCTTAGAGTCGCCACTCGAGTGCATCACACATATGTTTGCACACATATGCCATTAAAGTGTAACGTGTTAATCTTCGCAGCTGAACAATTGAAAACTGAATAACTGAAATTCCAGTATTTAGAATAAAAATAATAATTAATATAAAATAATTTGGATAAAAACATCAAATTAATCTTGCTACGCCGTTACTTTGTTAAACGAATGTCCCGTGATCTGAATGCGACACACAGAAGTGTTTACGAAAGAAAAACGCGACTCCATCGAGCCGAAGAACTTAAATTGCTTCGAGTCTTTAATCCAATATATTACATGTAATTATATTTCGCCACGAGGTCGGCGCGCGAACTATTCTCTTATTTTCAATTACCCTCGGCTGCAGCGCGTTATACGTATTCGTAACTTCGCTCCATTTAGTGATATGAAGCATTTTATTAAGTTAACGGGCCAGCTAAAATGGGTCGACCCTTTATACATTTCCTCTTCTCTTAACTTTTAAATGGTGTTCCGCGCGTTCATGTACGGTAGCTTCACCAAGATTATCGCGAGTGAATCATTAGAGTAAAGTAGATATTCACGGTCGCCGGGAATTTTCCGCGCGAGGCATCGAAGATTTTTAATGGATTCGAAGGCGACGGGGACGCGGCCGGAATGCGATCGATATCGGCTGTCGGACCGCGTCCAAGTTTCCTCGAATTTGTCACTGCCTTATTGATAGCCCCCGTGCCGCCCATAAATTTCGCGAAACCGTTATAAATTCTTTCTGACCTCTTCCACTTCGACACCGTTTCGAAAGCTTTGAGCATGCGTCCCATTAAAGTCTAAACCGATCCGGTCTGCCCTCGTAAATATTCGAAATACTCGACCGTGCACGCTCTCCCGTTTCACCGACTCTGTCGAACCCACAATTTTCATCGCGAGTCCGACAATTCGAACTTCCTATTTCTGGTCTATCGACAACCATGAATAACTTATTCAACTTGATCGTACCATTAACAACGCTCCGCGGCTTCTACCGTTTGCGAAGCGTTCTCCTGCGCTGGATTCTAAAAATTCGGACGTTCCTCTTTTGAGAATTAAATGGGCTTAACAGCGGCGTTCAATTTTTTACTCGGAACGTAAATCGTCGTGCTCAACGGCGATCCAGTTCGAACGAAAAAACAATTAAATAGTCAAGATGTTTGGTACCGAGTACTTTTTACAAGCTGCTTGCTTTATGCATGGCTGTTCCAAATTCGGTACGTTAAATACGATAGCACGAAAATTGATAGAAAATTCGTTGGAATTGTTGGTCTGCGGGGTTTACGTGGTTGTTTATTCTATCCTGGTGTGATTTAGTTTACCTTGCCGTTTCTTCTTCGACTGAAAGAATTTCCATAGTTTTCTTAACGCCACCGTTTCGTTCTAACCATAACTCTTTTGAAATTCGATCTACAGTGATTCCTCCGTAATTCGCGCTCAGATTGCGCACAAAAATGGACAATTTGGGGAGAGGAGGTACGATCTCGTTTTCGATACGTTTATCGATACGTTTATCGATACGTACTATACGTTTTCGTAATTACCGATTGTCGACGACTATAAAAACGAGACGCAAAGCTCGAATAATCGTATCTCCAAATTTCCCGCTTTTGTGCGTAATTTGAGAGCGAATTAGAGGGAGGAATTACTGTATTTACTATCTAATATATATACAGGATGTCCCAAAATTATGGTACTTCCGGGAAATAAGGGGTTCCTGAGATCATTTGTAGCAACTTTTCCCTTAGCGACAATATTCTACGAGGCTTCGTTCACGAGTTATTAACGAAAAACAGTGACCAATGAAAGGCGAGCTCGATTGTCGCAAGGCGGCCGAGCCAACGAGCGGTCGAAGCCCAGATCCGCTGATTGGCTCGGCTGTCTTGCGCCAGTTGCTACAAATGACCCCAGGAACCCCTCATTTCCCGGAAATACCATAATTTTGGTACACCCTGTATATATATAATGATTTTTATTTGTTTTCTTTTTTTCTGCATACGTTCCATCCGGCTCAGTTTGCTATCAAAATGAAATCTAAGACATTCAACGGTATCTGCTTGTATTTCCAGATTTTCCATTCTAATTTTCGGGAAATGGTTTTTTGTTAATTATAAATGTTATATATGAACGTTCGTTTCTGTTAATTTCGATTTTATTCGATTCTGTCCAAGCTTCCACGTATTCTTGCGTGAAAATGATTTTCGAACGCGAGAGAAATGAATCCCGTCTCCCATTTCTGGGAAATGCGGCCGCGATAAAGTCGGTTTAAAATCGTGATTCACTTCGATCTAAATTCCCGTGCCTGAATCGGCTAGAGACGATCGATTTGGCACGGAACGGCCCTAAAGAAGCTGTGTGTACCGTACGAACAATCGAATCGCCCGGTTCAACCGAATTTCCTGGCCGTCTCGGCCTGTTCCACCGAATTCCCGAATGGCTCTCGAATAAATTGCGCACGGAGGTTAACGAAGCGGCTCGAAGCCGGAGATAAGTCCTCGTCGCGATCGTTCCCGCTTATTGTCGTCGCGATACGTCGCGCATACAAGCGCAACGATAACGGCGCGCACGCGGGCTGCATTTTAAACGGCTGCATTACCAGGTCGACCGGATATGGTGCACAATTGCACCACCTCGAACACATCGACGAACTCGTTCTCGGTGAGGTGCGCGCCGGGGTTCAACGGCGGTCTGCCGCAGTCCTTCCTCATGGAGGTGAGGGAGAGCAACAGCCAGGACTTGAAGGCGAACCTGACGAACCGCGTTCCGAGCTTCAGCGTGAGCAACCTCGATCCAGGTGCGCTCTACCAGGCCTGCATCTACTCCTACAATGTTAAAGGGCGCAGCGAGGCGATGGTCGTGCAAGCAGGCACCCTCAGGCTGCCCGAAAAACAATTAACGTCCGAGTCGGGTGAGTTGGAACTGCGAATCCCCCGCGCTAATTGCTGGACTAATCGCCGAAGGATCTTCGGGCGAAATTTTCATTTTCTGCGTTAATTGCGAGTGACGGTAACTACGCAAACATTTCATCGTCTATATCAGAACTGGCCAACTTTTGCCACATGCTCCCGCGCGCCGTCAGTCCCTCTTTTTCTCCCATTACTTGAGTTCCGTAAACACTGCTGCTACCACATGCACCTTTCTATGCATAACGTCGGTAGACTCGCCTCAGAGTCGTGCTAATTGAATTACATTGTAATTCATTTACATAATTTAATTACATTATCGTTCAATTACATTGCAATTCACTTACATAATTTAATTACATTGCAATTCATTTACGTAATTTAATTACATTGTAATTCAGTTACGTGATATAAACCTAATTAAATTAGCAATCATTTTTATCTCGAGTATAATTGAATTACAGTGAGAGAGAGATTAAAATACAATGTAATTCGAATAGAATTCAATTGAAATACAATGTAATTGAAATACATTTCTTCGAGTTACAGCCCAGAACTTTGAAGAAGTGAAAATTATTATTTGCAAATGACACATATTAAGTTGATCTGTACTTTGTTACTTATGAGAGTAACTGTACATAGGAAATCCAACAATAATATCATTCTGTTTGAAAATTTCACATGTTTTGTTTTCAACCTCTTATTACCTACTATGTATTATTGTTTAATTCGTAATTTTAATTCAATTAAACCCTAAATTCGAGTAACGCCAAACCTAGCGAACTCTAAATGTAACTAACGCGTGTTACTTTATAAAAGTGACAAGGATGTATTCGTTTAGAGTTTTCGTCATTTTCATTATAATGTACAGGGTGTCCCAAAATTATGGTATTTCCGAGAAATAAGGGGTCCTAAGGTGATTTGAAGTAACTTTTTCCTTAGCGAAAATGCAATTCGCAGCTTTGTTTACGAGTTATTAATAAAAAAAGACAATGACCAATGAGAGGCGAGTTCGCCTGGCGTTAGGTGACCAATGAGCGGAACTGGGCTTCGTGCGCTCGTTGGCTGGGCCGTCTCGCGCCAGCCGAGCTCGCCTCTCATTGGTCAGTGTTTTTCGTTAATAACTCGTGAACAATGCCGCGGAGAAAATTTTTGTAAAGGAAAAAGTTGCTTCGAATAATCTCAGAAATCTCTACTTTCCCGGAAGTACCATAATTATGGGACACCCTGTATATGCTTGGATTACGAAATTTATTTATTATTAATATATTTATGTTACCATGTAAAAATGTAAAGTCGATCATTTTGACGGGCTCGATAGGTTTGGTATCGAAGAAAGTTATAAATCGCAAAATAAATGTAATCCGCTTATCATGGATTCTCGAAGACTGCGATTGCATTTCCGAGGGTGAAACGCCTGTCTTTCTGATTCCAGAGAGACCGAGACAGAATTTCAGGTTGATGCCGATGCTGAGCGTGACGATCGGCGTGGTGACCGCGCTGATCATCGTCGCCGTGATCGTGATGGTCGTGCTCAGAATTCAGCACACCCAGGTCGACGAGCAGAGCAAGTCGCAGATGGAGGACCACGGTAAACAAACGAAAACGATGCCGATCCAGCGGGAGCTGAGGTTCCGCGAGGCAAGCAGTCTACTTTCCGACGAAAAACATCCGAGCAGTCCCTTCAGGAAGTTCGAGAGCAGCGGCGACATAAGCGAAAACGACGAGAAAAACCCTGACATCATACCTCAGCAAATCACCGGTTCGTTGATTCCTAATTCATTGAATCTTGCCCGGCTTGGAAGCAGCCTTTTGTGCTTGCCAAACCGAGAACCTCTATTATGCGGAATAATTAAAGCTTTCCATGCGATTCGAGCGATTCCCAGGTGCTTCTCGAATGGAAATAGTTATCGTTTAAACCGCGCATTTTGTCGAATATTATTTCTACGCTTTCGACAGATATCGATTATAACTAGAGGGCGGAGTTTTATGAAAATTAAAAATTGTCTGCATCGATTGCAAGAAATAGTGACTATATTACAAGTTTATTATTTCTCTAATCATTTTAACCGTTTGCACTGGAAGTCAAATTAACGCAAAATTTAAAATAGTTTTTCTAATACACGGTATTCCCACGGTGCATTTTGAACATACGAAATTGAATTTTGCGACTCATGCAGGAGTTATGCTTTCGAGATAGTTCTTTAAATATCAACAAAGTTGATTTATCAAATTATTTTGAAACGTGACGTAATAGTTATTCAATGGTGCCTCGGAGTCGCCACTCGAGTGTAAAGGGTTAATAGATTACAAATACTTTATACCATTTTCAATTGTGTTTCCCCAATTTTGCCATAACCTAATTAATTATATTAATAAACTAATTATAACAAAAGATTGATACGAAAATATGGACAACAGCGCGGGAAACAAAATTCTTTCCAATTGTATAACAACAAATTCTAAATTTTCAGAAATGTTTATGTAGCGTCGATACTCGAGTTTCCCCTTGAAAAATACTAAACTGCGTAAACCACCAGATCAATTAGAAATTAACGCGACTTGTAGACTTCTCGAGAGTCCTTAGTAGATGAAATCGAGGCATCAACTTTTTTTAAGAAGAAATTCACCAATATCTTTGAAAAGACCACATTTATGGAGATGTTTGTGATCGCGACATCGCGAGTTGAAATAATTCTCAGGAGTACAAAACTCTTGCTGTGCTAAAAGCGAATAATTAAATGACCGACGCTAATTCCCAATGTTTTCGCGTAGGCGACGAGCCATCCGAGTACTTGAGGAAGCGGCGCCTGATCTCAACGATCGAGACATCGCCATCGAGAAGTTTGTTGGAACACTCGACGGTCACTTCCGTCAGCGGTCACGGCAGTTACGCCGGCTATTGCACCATTCGCAACGGCATGCCGCTCCACGAGTTCTCGAATCTGGCGACGAAACATAAAAGCGTGAGTGCAATTTGCGCTAATTGCTACCTATCCCTTCCTATGCCCGTATCCAAGCTACCGGCCAGGACATTGCTCCAAAAGGTTATATTCAAAGTTTCGTCCCTATTTAATTTATGGATCGTTTCACTAATCCTAAATCCCTCCGATACCCGCCAGTTGACACGTGGTGGATCATCGTGTTATTTATCGGCCTCGGAGTCCCTAAAAATTATTTTACAAAGTACATTACTCCTTATGTGCTATATTATATAATATATAATATAACGCTTCATCCACCGGAAGCTTATTCATTGCATTTGAAAATGTCACTAGCAAACCTTTAGCTTAAATAGGGTGTCCCAAAAATGTCTCATAATCCAGAAATGGAGGGTTCCTGAGGTCATTTGAAGTAACTTTTCCCTTAGCGAAAATGCAATCCAAGGCGTCGTTTACGAGTTATTGACGAAAAACATTTACCAATGAGAGGCGAGACGGCCGAGCCAATGAGCGGAACTGGGCTTCGTGCGCTCGTTGGCTGGGTTGCCTCGCGCCAGCCGAGTTTGCCTCTCATTGGTCAGCTGGCTCGTGGCGGCCGAGCCAATGAGCGGAACTAGGCTTCGTGCGCTCGTTGGCTCGGCCGTCACGCGGCCGTCTCAGCCGAGCTCGCCTCTCATTGGTCAATGTTTTTCGTTAATAACTCGTAAACGAAGCCGCGTATTACATTTTCGCTAAGGAAAAAGATACTTCAAATGACCTCAGGAACCCTCCATTTCCGAATTGCGAGACATTTTTGGGACATCCTGTATATTTCATAATTATTAGATAACCATCGGTAAATTAACTATTTGCCAAGTAGAAGAACTTTCAAACTAACCCATAGAACATCCGATAGTCGCCTACCATCAACTTTCTACGAATTATCCGCATTCTAGATGATCTATAAAATGTTTCTCAAAAATTCAAAGACCCATGCCTTATCTAACTCCAGTAAAATCTCAATTAACCCTTTGCACTCGAAGCCGAATTAACAAAAAATTTAAGATAGCTTTTCCGACCCACGATTTTTCCATTTTGTACGACTTAGTGCATTTCATGCATATGAAATTGAACATTGTGACCCGTGCAACAGTTACGCTTCCAACGGCTCTTTAAATGTAAACAAATTTAACTAAGAAAATTATTTTGAGACGCGACGTAACAATTTTTAAGGACGCCTCGAAGTCGCCACTCGAGTGCAAAGGGTTGACACTACATATCTTGCCTAGAAAGCTCGTAAAGCAGGCCCCTAAAACGTTGAATCGTTCCTGAACAAACCAGCGGGTCCTCGGAGCTGATCTAAACCCTCTAAATTCGCAATCGTCATTCGTACGGAGAATTCAATCCCGATCGATAATAGAGATCGTCTGGCGGCGTCCCAAACAGCTCCTAAATATCTCGTCCAGAAAACCCGTAGAGCCTCGCTCTAAAGGGTTCAACCTTCGCTTCCAATCAGTCCCGAGCAGATGAATCGATCCTCGAGCCCAATCGAAGCCCGGTGAATCCTTAATCGTTATCGGTACGTGAACTTTAGTTCCAGCCAATAGTGGGGGACGTCTACGAGACCGGTGTTTGCACTCTGCCGAGGCAACACTGGCCGAGCCAAAGTGTTCAATCGATGTCGATGACAATGAGCCCGCCGATGCTGTACAGCGGGCTGGGTGTCGTTGGCAGGACCTGTCCGAGCGGCAGCATACTCGCCAAGGACGTCGAGGCGAGGATCCCGGGCCAGTGTTGCATTCAGTCGCAGAAGGACGGGAAGATCAGCACGCCGATCGTGATGGCGAAGCGAGAGAGCTCCGTGTGACGATTTTCCCGGCTGCAAACCAGTGAGGTGTAATCCATCGGTAACTTTCGCTCCAATTGTCCCGCGATGCTGCTGGAGATCATGCTCCCTTCTGCTTCGAGCACCGGTCCCGGTGCCGATCGAAACAAGCATCGCCCGACGCGAAGAATCAAGTTCTTCGCGAACGTCGAAGCGCTCTGGAGAGAAGTTCTTGTTGCCCCTTCGTTGCTTGCAGACTTGGTTGGGATGGTCTTGATCGCGATCCTGTCCTGCTGGCTGGGGAATCCTGGTACGGGCAGCTGACAAACAAAAGCGCACACGATGTAGATTGCATTGATTTCTCGGATTTAGGACGACTGCTTCGGATCGGCCATCCTTTCGCACTCGGGGCTATCTCAATCCTTTGTTTCCAAACATTCTGGTCGAATTTATGTGTCGGAGACAATTCCGTTCTTCTCGGGAATTTTAGACACTTCTTTGCAGGCTCCGAGCAACGAAAGTTCCTTTGAACAAATTAGAACGTTCATCGTATAAATGATTACTCAATATTCTTGCGGGAATATCGAAGTTCGTTCGCCGTTCGAAGCAAATGATTCGTTCGGATGCAAATGATTAAGCCGCGATTACCGATGGTTGCCAGGGCGATCACATTGAATGTAAACAATGTAATCGAACGCTCGTGTATTTCGGGGAGAAATTGTTGTTCCGTACCACGATTTCCTTAGCCACCCGGTATATAATTGAAACTCGAAAGCCTCCGAAGCGTATCCAGCGAGCCCGAGGAGGAATCATCGTTCACGGACGAGCTGATTTACTTACTCGGCGACAGTGTTCGCGTTTCCGTTTCTTTGTTCAATCAAGTGCCCTTTTTATATTGAACGGACGACCCTCGAGTTTGCAAATGTAAGATAACAAGACGAACGAAAAGAACAACAATACCGAACCGAAGAGCAAAAGGAGACGAGTAAAAGAACATACCGGAACGCGATATAGAGAACAAAGGAGAACCGTTGTAGATCCCGTGCGTCGCGAACCTGCGTGTGTGTGTGTGCTAATAGAGGAAAGAGAAGCGAGTAATTACAATATAATGAACAACTTATACATACATGTGCACGGGTGTACGCGCGTGCTGCTGTACATACTACTCTTGAATACGGATGATATTTTATACAAAAAAATCGGTAGCGTTTAAACGAGGACGACGAGGCCGACGGGGGCGGGTTAAGAGAGAGAGAGAGAGAGAGAGAGAGAGAGAGAGAGAGAGAGAGAGACGGTTTAAATTCCAACTTTTACTATCGGTACACTGTACAATTCGTCTAGTCGATGTAAGTATAAATAACGAAAGAGGCGAGCTAAGGCCCAAATGTATGTGTATATGCGCGAGAGATACGGACGAGATCGATCGATCGAGCAGCCAGAATAACGTACACTGAGAAGGAGGAGGTGGACGGCCCTCTGCGAAACGAAAATCAAAAAGAGAAATATTTACCAGAGAGATAAAAGTTTAAACAAAGAAACAAAAAGAGTATATAGAGTCAAATGGGAACAAGAATTTCGTTTGCGAGTGTGTGCATGCCGGAACACGTACATATATGTGAATCACAGGGTGGGGGTGGGAAGAGACACAGAGACATATCGTACAGCTTTCCCCATCGTTGAACATTAAAAAATCAACGGATAAGACAAAATAAAGCGAGGTGAAGAGACGCGAAACGAAAGAACTCGATGTGCTGAACAGAATTTCAAAGTAAAAGGAAGAAGAAGAGAATGCGAGAGAGAGAGAGAGAGAGAGAGAGATCCCCATTACTTTCGTCAGTATGCAGTATTCTGGATTTTATTGTAAGATTAAGTATCTGTATAATGTATAAAGTAACGATTCTCCTTCCAAGTAACCGGGCACGAAGGAAGTGGGAGGACGGAAAAATAGTCGTCCTGCTCTCAGAAATGATTTAGAGCTTTCTCGTGGTCCGATCATTGCGATATCCCTTTGTCGGAAGCTTGGAGAGCGTCGCCGGCGTAAACTTCGCTCGGAGACCGACGAATTAGACCGCCTTTCCAGGACGACGCGAGCCGGAAAACTTCGAAACTTCAGTAGCAATTAGAAATGCTGTTGATTATACTCCAAATCGCATTTTTCGATCAAATACTTCAGCAAGTTTGCACTCTGATTCCCGAACAAAACCGGACGCTGTTACCGAGAGCATAGAACGGAAGCAGAATTTTCTATCGAATTGAAACGAGCTCGATGCTCTGCAACTACAATCTCGAATCAAAATTTGTTCTTGCATATTCTTGAACAATTCTTTAACCCTCGTACGTTCCTCAAGGTGACAATTCGCCTATTTTCTTTTCCTAAATACTGAGAAGCTTGATTTCTTTTTATGGGTGTTGTAAGATGTATTTCTCGTTGATTTAAAGTGTGAAGCAAAATGCGGGTGGATCATCATCCTGATTTGTGCAACTATCTCCGAGGATCGTACGAGTGTGACTATGTTTCGTTCCGGACCTTTCCGGCTCAATGTCGTCCAGCACACAAACGGTCGTCGTATCCTCTGATCCCACGACAGAATCGTACTAGAATGCGGATTTTATGCATTTATAATAAACTCGACTTTGTTGAACAGGATAAAATAAACGTCATGATAAAAAAAAAGAACAACCCGAATGCGTTCTATTTACTCTCAATTCAGGGAAACCTCCAGCAGGCAGGCGAAACAAATTTTCGTTCGATTTCAGGAAACCGCATGGTTTCGGTGCGGGAATGTGAATTTGCATAAATATCCGCAGTCTGCTCGCGACTGAAAGCTCGCGGAGAAGACTCGCGCGAAGCGACGGAAACAGCGCGTGTACAGCTCTCCTAATCAAACTTTCTCAGAGCTTCTGCGTTTTCTGCGAACGTCTCCGATATCCCGTGCGCGATCGGATCTTGTGTATTTAACGGGGGAAAAGGTCTTAAACGAAAACAACCAAAAAAAAAAGAGGAAGGAGAAGGAGAAGAAGAAGAAGAAGAAGAAAGAAAAGCGCGGACAAGGATCTGGCTACTTAGATAGATAACTTCGGTGTGTAACACGTGTGGATCGTAGCAGAAAAAAAAAAGTGTCGGTTTTCTCGCGAGCCGCTTCCTGTAATATAACCGAAAAAGTTAATCGTTCTTTCGAGTCCTCTAGATCAATGTGTTCTATCGCGATCGCTAGTCGTTAAGTTTCTATCCACGGCGACGGGTGGAACCGTGTACACGCGTGACGATCCAGCGCCGGAGCTGCCTGGATCGTTATCTATTAATTGCCATTGATGGAATTGATGTCGGTACGTAGCCAGGTGTGCTGAGAACTTCCGAGTAATTGTTCAAGAAACGCCTGTATTTCCTCTTGTATTAGCGTTCGCGGCTGGCCGACGGAAAGCTGAGAATCTTGGGAGTACAGTGTTTCCTCTGTCTCCCGGCTCGACAGACACAGCGAGACGCTCGGAAGCAGCTATTCATTTGTTAACGACTCGGGTTTTCGCTGTTGTTAGCGTTCTATTTTCATCTGAACGATCCTACGACCGCATCCAACGGTGTCTCTTTTGTCTTCTGGCAAAGGACAAACGAACTGGCAACCGATGCAAAATAGGGTCCTATTACTTGATAACGTCTCGCTGTATTCCCTGAATCGTACGACGTTAACGTAAGAGTACTATGGTTCGTCTTTGCCCTCGTTGTTCCTTCACGGATGGAGACAAAGGAGGGTTCTTTCTCCCTCGCTTATCGCTTTTTCGTTCTTTCAAGAACTGTTGGTTGCATCATGCGAGGACAGAATAGAAATAGACGAATCGTTAAGAGGGAAATACATTGTACAGGGGAGACAGTTGATGGACGAGACGAGGCGAACTAGTTTTGCTTGCTGGTGACCGTGGAAGAAGTATTTGTACTGGAATACGTGTTTGATATGGGGTACTACTTGTTAACTCGTATCAAGATTCTCTGAGCTTCGTTGTTAACACTTTATCCACATTATATAGTCTTTCAAAAATTGAAGATTGGAGATAATACCCCATTTCCTCAGACTACGAAATATCACACTAGGATCTTTCTGAAGATTTCATAAAAATTTACTACAATACAGTAAATTCTCCCTAATTGACGCTCAGCTTGTACACAACAATAGACAGTTTGGGAAGAGGAGATACGATTATTCAACGAGTACTAGTCATTAGTCAACAACTATAAAAATAAACCGCAAGGCTGAAATAGTTGTACCTCCTCTTCCCAAATTGTCCATTTTGTTTCCAAGCTGGACGTTAATTAAGGAGAATTTACTGTATTTACAATATAGTTCAATGCTACAACTTGAATATGTTCGAAAGAATGTGTTCGAAGAACTTCATATTTGCATTTATCTTGCAACACAGTAATAGAAATAAGTATGCAGGAAGGTTGTAGCCATAGAAGAACTCATAGAAGAAGCCATACGAAGAGTACCAATGGATAGTTCACAGTTTCATGAACTAACAAGTTCTAGGTAAAGTGTTAAGATTGAAGTCTCCAAGCAAAAACGTAGATCCAGCCTCAACATTGTGAATTTCCAAAGCTTCTTTATCGTCGCTAAGCAAGATTTTACGAGTTCCTTGCATCTTGTCCGTCACGCATCGCCATGAATATGAGTTGAGCGAAGACTAATAATAAGTTTCAAATGCGTACTGCCAACAAATCACTTTTCATTTATTCCAGACAGATCTGGTGCATGTGAAATATCTAAACGCAGTCTACATTCGCAACCGTTGCTTGATCGGTAAATTGATGTTTTTGAGGAATAACGATCCGGAAATCCTGTCTCCCAAGCGAGCAGCTAGCGACGGCTCTTTGTTTCTTCTAGTGGTGCGGATCGGGGAGAATGTGCTGCTTGCTCGAAGTGACTTCGATACTTGGACGATCGTGTCTCGCGGACGCGCCACTGAACATGAAATCGTGGGGTGGCGGCCAGATGCTATCTGAAACGTAGTCATCATCGTTTAAGAACCCGTTCACTGTGACTGTAAAGGCGTTCCTTGATCTTGTGTGAAGCTACTCTTCTTAGTGCGGAATCATTTGGTCGGCACGAGGAAACGTGTTGTGGTCTTCATGAACGGATAGCCACTTCTATCGGTGCTGCTTTTCCGATTGATAACAGGTTTTGTGGGATAGATCAGTTATCCGATTTACATCCTTTAATTTATACCGCGTAGAGAAGCTTGACTACACATGCACTTATATAATATCTCACAATCAGTTCAAATAGAAACATCAAAAGTATACACGTACTGAGGAAGTATCAAAGTTGAGTACATATGCACCTAGGTGGTAAACTTGAATACACGTGCACTTGAAAAAAAGCAAATTTGAGTGCATTTGTACTTACAATTCGATTTAGTACATTTGTACTTGAAATGTATGAAAGTTCGGTACAAATCTACTTAAGTACACATGTACTTGAATGTATGTGTATTTGTAATAAGTATATTTAAGATTTGTAAAATTGTACTAGAGAAGCATGAAGGTTGAGCGCACGTGCACCGGAAAAGTATGAAAGTTAAGTGCACGTGTGGCTGACAAATTTTGCGTTGAATGCACATTTAGAGAACGTAAGTGCACGTGCACTTGAGACATCCCCAAATATGTGCAGATGCGTTAGATAAAGCGATGCCTCTCCTTTAATCCGATTGTAATTGACCAATTCTATCAATCACTAGGACGACCACAACGTTTTCTCTACCGATCAACATTTGCACACCATTCGCTTCGTTACTAATGTATCTTAGAGTAGCCAAGGATAAGAAAAGAAGAAAACTCTTTTAGATTAAGACATGGAAGCACCGTACATCTTACTGCCGTGCATCTTACTGCCGTACATCTTACTGTGTACATGTATAGCCTGTACATCTTAACAAACGAGTCTGACCAGCTGCTTTTACGAATGAAAAGGGAAAAGACATGAAACAGAAACAAGAACCGTTTGAATGAAATTTGTATATGTAATTAGTTTAGCAATATCTGACACAAATTTCATGTACCCCATAAAAGGAGACGTTTTTTTGATATTGTAAATACTCTAAAATAAATAATCGTTTTTATTCAACGAACTGCTAACCATTCCTGGCCCTATTATTCTCTTTTCAACGACTGTTACCTTGATACAGATTAATAAATGGCACTGACGAGTATGTCTTCAAATATTCTTCGACGCTCAGAAGTACTGGACTAATTGTGTTTATCAAATATTCGACCACTGTATTCTCTGGAAGGTCTCTTGCATCTTTGTTGCACACATTTCGAGCGACATCCGCCATTGAAATTGACTTTTGAAGAAAGAATTTTTATTAATAATGCTTTTTTGCTAATTTAAATCACTCAAGGTAGCTGTACGGTTACCCCCACCATTTGATCAAACCTTACACCTATTTCCATCCCCCCTTTATATGTATAAATTGCTATTGCCATTGTTAGGTAATATAAATGTTTAATATGATATATGTCGCAATTGTAGCACAACTTACTTGATCACGCATCTTATTTGATATTTTATAACTCAATACGTAGATTTTTGTTAAACAATTGGTCACATGTGTTTTAATTTCTGATAATTCATGTGATCCCAGGCTTTCTAGTAATGTAGGCGGGGTCGTATATATGTAAAACCAATCTGTGAAGAATCTCTAAACATCTTATGATTTATATATACCTTTTTATAGTAATTCTTATCGAAAAGTTTACTTGATGTATGTGATGATAGAATGGAAGGAAAACTGATCTCCCCAGATTACAATCCTCGGTGTATTTTTCATAGAAAGCTTTCAAATGTTTATATATAATGTCTTCCGGTGCCTATAGAATTTATTAGTTATGTTTTATGTCGTGAACAATACTATTATAAATATCCTAATTTTAGAATAATACCTCAAGCAAATGAATGTAATGCTTAGGATATACAAGAAACATTCCACTTATAAGAACATCCCGAACATCATCCTTCAAATACTTTATAACAGAATCCATTTTCTGCAAAAATTTAGATTCTCTGAATTTTTTAATGATTCACTTGTTAATTCGTTTCATAGTTACCGTTATCAAATTTTCATACGCGCCATTATATTTGCCAATATAAAGAACACGGGTTATGTATGAACTCTAAAAGGTACAAAATTTCCTGATAACCTAATTGTCCAAAGTATACCTTATTTTATGAACTAATATTAAGGAGTACGAAACTAAGCATTTTGAAATCAACGCGCTTTAGTGTAACTGAACAGAATGCGCAGAGAATGATGCGCACGAGACAAGAACCCTTGCGGTTACTTTGATAGGAAAGAGTACATAATCGAATTTCATTAATCGCAAAATATCCAATCGCTCATTCTATAGAAATAAATTAAAATTCTGAATTATATTATATATTTTTTATATAAGAATTATTCTGACCTTGTTAGCCGCACGGAGATTTGTTCTTACTACATCAAGCAAAGTCTTCCTTGTTGGCTCGAATACTCGTTTCATGATTAACAAACTATTCGAAAACACAAATTTTATTCAAGCGCGCACAGTATATCATTAACATTTAATTTTTTAACTATTGTAAAATACCCGCACATTAGAATCGTCTGTAGTTTCGTAGGAGCACCCGGAAGTCCATACATGTACTACGTTACTCATATAGATAGTTACAGACTACTATTTTTAAATATAAAAATATTTTATTATAACAATATCCTGATATTATTCAAGAAAAAAAGGACTCAGTGCATATATACTAAATGTTATGTAACTTCATCGTATAATTTTTAAATTTTCAACTTGTAGTGCACCAAACGTTTGATGTGACTCATTTCCGGAATATAATTTGAAAATGAAAATATTCGTCGCTTAAACTTGGATTGCAATTGTATTTTATTTGAAATACAATACAGGTTAAAACAAAATGTATAAAATGTGACCAGCAAATTAATATTAACTTAAACTTAATATAAATATATACAAGATAATAATACTGTGCTTATAGTTCCTTAAATGTATAATTATAATGACTGATGTTCCAACTATTACTATACATTACGTACACATGGTAAGTACATTAAAAGAAATAATACTAATAAATGCATAAAAAGGTATTTTACATTTGTAGATTTACCAAGCATAATTATCAAGGTTAAAAACTCAATTAATGAATTATAGTTATTTTTTCGTCTTTGGGCACTCTAATATTGGGGGTGGTGGTGGAGTTGCTTCACTGGGATTTCCTAACCAAACGGATTTACTGAATCGACCCTTTGTGATAGGCGCTTGCCATTTATTGATGCACATTACTGTAACTGTAGGCTTTTCTGCAGTGACTGTCGCTACAGTTACTGCTCTGAAAGTTAAATGACAATTAATTAAATAAGCAATTACATCTAATCACAAACGATCTACTTGTCAACTAATATATGTATTTAGAGATAGGAAAAATAGAAGGGTGAAATACAATATAAATACTGTATTTATTAATTAAAAATATATTACAAATGAATGTTATGCAAAAATATATTTTTCACTCAATCATACAAAATATTATGCACTTTTAATTAATCATTTGAAAACATTCCTTTTTGAAAGTATCTAATGCTTCTCAAGATAAAAATGAATTAACGGTGCGTATGTTGCTTCATCCAAATTATTAAAAAAATGAATTACAAAGTGATATATACAATTGATACCTATATTACTTAACGAAAAAATATAAGTCAATGGAAGAGTGCATTGCTACAAACTGATAATAAATATAAATCGGCTTAGTGCTATTAGAAATAGAAACATAAATTTGTTATAAAATAAGAACAATCACTATATTTATTACATAAATATAAATTCAATAGTTTTCATACAAAGAATGTACAGTTGTATGAAATAATAAAGAGCATGAAGCCATTAGTTGTCGTAAAAAAACAAATCATTATCTTTAATGCCAAGGCACTTGGTTTGGATGACTGATGGAACCCAATTTGTAGTACCTTGTTGTTGAAGGTGTTTGTTGCGTTCCAGCCGAGTGATTTGGTGGCGTTGCTGCTGTAGGAGTCTCAGCACTTTGAGCAGAAGTGCCATCACCTTTCAAAACAGCTACACATTTCCAGTTATTAATATAATTATCCTTCCATAATCGGACGCAACCATCGTCCCCTGAACTTGCCAAAATAGTTCCCATAATATTCCAACATACACGCCATACAGTAAAATCGTGATCAAAAAATTGTGCTGCTGTAGTGATTTCAAAGCGTGGTGCTCCACTTTGTACACTCTCCCTATATAAATAATAGATTTCTTATAGACTCCCATACGTTTAATACTTGTTGTTCGGTATTTATTCGTACTTACATTAACGGCTTCAACGTAATTATTCGTACATCTTTCGTAGCAATAGCTAACGTATGAAAACTTCTACCTAAATTCGGAGCAAACGCGATATCGTGAACAGGATCAACTATGGTTAATGTTTCTGTTTTTGCCCATCTTCTACTACTCTCAGAATATTCATATATAAACACTTTCCCTCCAGACGATGGATTCGAATCATCACTTCCAACTGCTATCATTGGAGGGTGTAACCTAATATGCATATCAATTAATAAGGGTCCAGATAATCACAGAATATAATTTCAATGAGACTTCACCAATTTTTTACCTTGATAAAGATGGATTCCATGAGAGACAACTACATTGAAGCTTGCAGCTAATATCATGCTGGAGTGTCCATTGACTCAGGTTCATTACGTCAGGAGCTTCGTATATTCTAATTACTCCATCTTCGCTGCAAGTAGCTAATAAAAGGCCGAGGGTTTTAGGTGCAAATTTCACATCTGTAACTGACTTTCTGGAATCCACTAAATTTGTCCTCCTGACCCAATGTCTCATGCCACGTTCTCCTGGGCCTGATCCTTCCCCAACTGTTAAAAACCCACATAGTTTGAAAATAAATAATTACAACATAATAAATCAATGCGCTGAAAACACAACTGTCCAACAACATCGAAAATAACTGTTGAAACATAAAGATCAATAAAATAAATTATAATGTCTTTGTTGCCATTTTATTAATACTCCATAAAGTGTTTACGATCCAATAAGACTATACCTATTTCTTCCCACACAGCAGCAGTCCTGTCGAAAGAACATGTTGCAAGTACTTGACCAAACTCTGGATGTGCCCAAGTAATTTTCCACACAGATCCACTGTGCGCTTTCCAGGACGCAGTCAGGTGCCAATTTCCATGTTCATCTTCATCCCATACCTACGTAAATTCGACAATCTTCACACATGACTACAACAACGAATCTACATAATATGATACATACAAATTTAGTACGAATCTACATAAAAACGTACATGCATTAACTATAAACTTCTTACTTTCACGAATTGATCACTGGAGCACGTTGCCATTCGTTGCCCATAAAAATCGTAAGCAATATCATGAATCAAGTCCTTGTGCTCCGCGTTAATGCTATGTGCTTCGAACATTCTTAGTTTATTTAAATTGTACTATACAAAAGAAAGACGTCCGTCACTAGCACTAGCACTTTCAGATCTCTGCAGAGGTTAACAACAGAAGTCGATCGGTTATACCAGAACAGAGGTTAATTTGTTGATAACGCTGAAAAATTTTTACACATTATGTATATTTACGGAGGTTAGGGTGTTGAAAAAATCTGTTTATATAATGCAACGTACAAATATCACCGGTTAGAAACACTTACTTTATGTACTACTTGCACAGAATTTGTATACATTTAGAAATGGAGGGAAAACCTTGTAAGAACCAGTAAGAACTCACACACACATAAGAACTTGTATATCATTGTACAGTAATGGGAACTACTCCTATACGCTTTTTTTACTCCCTAAGCTGGCGCGCATATCGCCACTATTTTACTGCGCATCCAATCCACAGTGGATCCTGTCTCAGTAATGAATCGTCAGCCAATCAAAACAAAGAAAATTTCAATATTGACCCTCGCTAACGGAACAAGCTGCGGCCTGAAGATGTGCAGGAATAGGACCCATTACCGTACATATGCGTAGATTTGAAAAGTGAACTGTTGTCGATTTCGATATGTACTCATAGGGGTAAAGAGGCTTCTGTCTGTTGTACAATATGATTGGTTAATATTATAATTTTGATCAATAATAAAATTGCGTATACACTACATAATGTATATACATATATACATGTGTAATTTATATGTATTATACATTATGTAGGCCTACATTTTTTTCGCAAATAATTCTCAAAAGCATTCTTTGTTTTTGAAAGTACATAAAATATTTATTTCGAAATAAAATATAATTAATCATTTCTTCATTCCTTAAATCATGAATTTCTACAATTTTAGTTACATTTCATTTTTACTAAAATGTGTAATCACGACTTAATATTCTTAGACTTAATATACAATATTCTTTATAAATAATATATTTCAAGAACATTTTCAATCTACTATAGCTTTAAAATATTGATTATTTAATGAATTTTATTTAACAGGAATAAATAAAGTTTCTAGAAGTTTCTTCAAATAGTGAAGGGATTCGTGACAGATTGTTTCCCGGCTACCTTGTTGAACGTGTCAGACACGTAATTCTTTTGAGAATTTCAACTACATAGTGTATTGTGCAATTGTCTGTAAAGGTAATAATTTGATATTATTTATTTGTTTATTTCGAAGGTACTTTTAACTGTATATTTATTCATAAGTTTTCTGTTTTATCGTGAAAGATATAAACCGTTAGGTTATTCCTATAACGTTTTAGATGATCACAGACGTGCAACTGGCTGTTTTCTGCAATCTCCTCGGCGCAACATTATTTTGTTTGGTGTTTCTCTTCCACTACATCAATGCGAATTACTCAAAATGAAGAAAAACGCATTACATATTTTTAATGTAAGCCTAACCCACGTCATCAGATGTTTTCACACGTACAAATGGAGTTGCGTATCTATATGCTATATTTGAAGTCGAACGAACGATGTGAATCACATAAATGGATCTTCATTTTATAAATACATTACGCATTAAATAAAAGCAACCTTATTTCTTTATTTCCCCCTTTTATGTACATACATACTGTATTACTAAATTACAAGGCTCGATTGTTACATATAAAGTAGATTGCAAACTAGACATTAGTATAAAAATATACAATGGTTTTGATATTGCTATTGTACAATTTTATTTTACATAATATTATTTACTCTTTACCAACAGGGAAAGAACTTAAAAGATAACAGTGTACATAAATAACATAAAATATGTAACAGTTTTACGTGTCATTATTTCCTATCTTCAGACAATGCTATACGTCACGAAGTTAGCTCACTGTAGCACGTAATACTATATGTCAAAAGTACTTACAGTCGTTTGCATTCACACACTTGCATATAGAAAATTTACCATATAGATTTTGGATTTCTTGCGTGCAAAATTTCGATAAGTTAGCCAGCAATGACCGACGATTCCAATGGGGAATCCACATTCGAATTTGTTGAGAGGAAGACGGATGATTCTTCTACATCTGGAGAAACCGTGAAGACAGGTAAGGCAGAAGGCAAAACATAAACACTTGCGTATCTGTCAAATATTACTTCCTCATATAAAATGCTTGCGTTTACTTAAATAATTTCTTGTAATTTTATGTATGATATCAAAAAATTGACGAATATAACAGAAAAAGTATAATGTTGGAAAATATACAGGATGTAAAGAAAGTAACAAAAAAAGAATTCGGAAACATATTTCGTGATATATACAAGATGTCGCAATTAATTTGCATTAGATTACATAGATCAGGAAATGCAATGCAATACAATAAATAATTCATTGCTCACTATCGACTATTCTGTGAGAGTAGAAAAATATTAATTCGTTGAAAGTATAAAAATTTGTCATTATGAACATTTGCTTACTTAATTCTTATAGATGACAAGTACCATTATTTTCAGATTCCTTTAGCAGCTTATCATCATCTACATCTTTGCTGATGCCAATAAGCTTATCAACGTCTGCAGGAAATTTATTATCAACTGTACCACCACCTAGTGCTTTGCCAAGCTTCGTTTCAAATTCTGCAACAGCATTATCAGAAAATCCTCTTGCGCAGAATAAACAAGAATCTTCTAAATCAATTTTAAATGCTCCGACTAAGACTTTACAGCAGGAAACTCAACAAGTAACTACAATTCCTATTGTAACTCAGCCTCAGCAAAATGTGCAAAATGCACCGCAAGCAGAGAGCCCGATACAAGATTTAGGAATGATTGGTGGTGGTCTATTCTCCTGGGTTAAGGAAACTGTAGTGAATAGCAATGTTTTAAGCAAAGTTGCAGAGAAAGCAAAAAACAGCGTCAACACTATGATCACAACATTGGACCCTCAGATGCGTGAGTTCATTTGTAAGTAAGAATGCTACTAATCCTGTCATGCAAGTAAAAAAACTTTCAAATTTACACTGTGCATAAATTTGTTGATAATACTAACACTTTGCATGCGAGATCCTACTTTGAATGTGTGTCAGTGTCTATATAATTATGTTATTGCATCATAACTGATGGGATGTATATATGCGCAGAGTTATTTTTGGACAAACTACTAGCCAAACTTAATTCAGTGAACTGTACTGCACTATATCTGACCTGTCAATTAAGATACAGAAAGTTGAAGATTTTTATATAATAAATATTGTATCTGTGTTTAATTTATAAACTGACTCGAAGTATGTGTCTTGTGTACGATACAGTTTCATGTATAAAAAATGAGTTTGTGTGCAGAAGTGGAAGCAAATCAATTTTGTAATTTGCTATGAAATGTAGCAATAATGATATAATCTTGTGACACAAATGACAGTATATGTGAAATATTTCTGGATCGAAGTGTGCCATTAGAAATATCATTATTGCTTTGAAGAGAAAAGTTCGAGGAAGTGATCATACATTCTGCACTATCTGCGTATGAATGCAAACAATTTTTTAGTGATTGTGCAATATGTTAGTCAATGTACATTCATATATGCAGGCCCTGTTAAAAATATACATTTCAGATTCTGGTGGTGATGTAGAGATCATAGTTGCTTCTGAGAAAGACGTGAAGATAAGTCCTGTACGTCAAGCTTTTCAGACAGTGTTTGGAAAAGCAACAGTTACGTGAGTAGTAAACAAAAAATATTGATTACAAGTTCAAATCATGATGTCGTTGATAAAATGATTGGTCATGTTGTAGAGGTGTTGCAGTTGAAAGTTCAAACATTGCCGCACAACCAGTTGGTTTTGTAGCCGGTGTAAAAGGAGCGGAAACAAAGATTAATTCCGCGCGAAATATTCCGTCCATTCCAAATGACATACCGATAGTTGCCGTGGAAAACTTTTTACTAGAAGTTGGTGAAGATAAATGGTTCGATTTAGGAGTGGTATTGCTCGATGATCCTAAGCGTAAACTCAAATTTCATACGTTCACGCAAATGACGCCAGTGCCAACTGAAATGGTAACAATGGCACAAGAAGCCACACCCGCAGATTATCCTCCGGAATGGTCTGGATTAGCAGTTACTATTGATAGTTTGATAGCAAATGATCTACAGGTTTGTTTTATAGTCTTGCAAGAAGATATAAAGTTAACCTGGCTCCTTTTTCGTAACAAACATATATTTTAAGGTTTCTCAGAACGAATGGCATCATGTCATTAGCGGTGTTGCTAAACGGGACATTATACTTTTAGCAGCTCAATCACTGGCTGGAATATACAAGAATGCAATCGATCCTGTGTAAATTTTAGACGCAATTTATCATTGTCGTGCGTTTTTTGTAAATAAAACTTCTTTAATTTATAAGATCTTTAAATAAATATACCAAGACTAATTTCTTAGATCTATAATTCTAACAATTTTGATATGTATTGTTTAAATCAAGAACCTAACTGTTTCAACGACGTATTTACTAAATGACTAATCATAAATCAAAGTGTAATGTAATTATGTCTTGTAATGTGTACAAAAGCTCCATGAAATTAAGAAAACGAAATATATTCGCAAATAAATTTGGTACATAGAACGTGCTTAATTATTTAATTATGATGTTATATACGCAAACTTGTATGCATATTTATACACATTATGTAATTCTATGATTTGAATGAAACTTCAATCTTTTACTATAAATTATTCTAGTAATTACTGGGTGTTTCTAAGAAAATAATTCAATAAAGATGTTCTGTTTCTCAAATTCATCTTTAATTTCTTGATGTTTTTTCCAATATGAGTACATTGCTGTGATTTTCTTTACTGTTATCAGTAACTTTGAAATTCGTCCATGGAGTGAGAACATTAATAAAAATATAAGACTACTTTCAGTTAAAAAGCAATGTAAAAATCGCAATTTCTCATTATTTTTTGCGTTCATATAAGAAATTGGCAAAAAATATTGCCATAATAAAAGTAACAATTAAGTCTTCATCTGATGCTGATATGCTAAAAACATAAAGCCACTTAGATGTTAATAGCGTGGCAATGCTTAGTTAAATAAATGTACAAAATATTCCTCCCTGCGCTAGCATACGTAGTTTTCATTATAATTACAATTTATTATCTTCCTTTTCCATATTTATAATCGTGTGTTTTCTTCACGGTTCTTTGCGCAAAACAAAGTTCATAATAAACCGATGCAGTTGTATACGGCTCGAGCGATATTAATTGAATTACAATATTTAAATAGATATTTAAATATGGTGCGCGAATCTATGGTTACAATTTGTCAAGGTATGCGTTCAAGTCTGGGAGACCTTCTTTCAATCCCTTCCTCTTACGTGTTTCCTGCGAGAAAAAAATTGTTTTGAATTAGTGATCAAAAATAAATATTGAGAAGAAAAGTGTTTTTGTATGTTTCCCTATTCAGGCAAGCCAGGACGTTCTACTGGTCTACCGAAACTAAAAAACAATTTCTTTTCCACGAGTTTAAAAATGGTAATGTATTTATGTCAACTATTACCACCAGTTATGAACGTGGCTGTAAAGTATTTATTCAAAATAATATTTACCTGCACGACTTGATACGGTCTGGTGCTAAGTTCCATTGGGTTTCCAGGTAAGATTTGCCAATGATCAAATACACACTGTGGGAAAGCTTGTCCTCCGGTATTAGAACGCAAATCGGCAGTAAAGCCAAAGGACTCGTTTACTGGAAGATATGCCTTAACTACAAACATGGGTGTACCAGCAACCTGTTGTTCTTCGAATACGTGTCCTCTTCTGCGATTGAGCACACCGTAAATACCACCAACAGCAACCTCTGGACACTAAAATGATCATTTCAATTAAATAATAAGCAAGATTATTAGACTATTCTATATGAAATTGTCTAATGAGAAAGTAGAATTTACCTGAATTTCACACAAGTAAACAGGCTCCATAAGACGAGGAGAGGCAGTGAGGAGACAAGCGTAAAGGCAACGTCTTGTGGTAGGTATAATTTGACCACCACCTCTGTGAATAGCATCAGCGTGTAATGTTACATCGTGAATATTGAAGCGTACACCTCTCAAATTCTCTTCCGAAAGAACACCCTGTAATACAACAAATATTTTTAATTAGCATAATATTTTAAAAGACATAAGGTTTATTTACTTTAATACAATATATACTTCTTTCGTGGCCCATTGGAATCCAGCAACAACGGAATCCTTAATTTCATTAAGGTACTGTACTCCCTTCGAACAATCAATGATGATATTGGGTCCGGTTCCATCAGGTCCAAAGCACCAGATCTTCCTAGCTTCAGTTACGTCGTAATCATACTTCTCGCTCAAGTAACGGGCACGTACTTTGAAATCGTCTCTTGGGTTCACTTCACCCTATAATAATTATAAACAATAAGTAAATGAAGAAATACATTAATGTTAGATCCTCACGTAAATGGAACGTACATTATCGATATCTTCAGCAAGTCCGTCAGGCATGGGACATGCCATCATGAACAGACGATTATGCTTGTTGGGCGATTTTGAAAGACACATCTGATTTGATTGTTCCGAAATGGTTTCTCTGTAAGAGACAACGGGGTCCGATTTCTTGATGGGTATGCAAGCGTGATCCTCCTCCAAATCTTTCAAACAGATTTCAAGATGAAGTTCACCAGCACCGGCAATGATGTACTCCCCAGATTCCTCGATGATACATTGTACCATAGGATCAGATTTCGCCAAACGTTTAAGACCTGAACAAACAAATGCCTTACTATTCAACGATATTCAGATAATTCAGTAAGTAAAACTACAAATTTATATTTTCAGATTTTACATAAAATCACGAATTCTCATAACCCAATGCTCGATGTGTAGTTTCATCATTTTGTCACAAAATTTTGATATCCACATTTTGAAGAAAACATCTTGTAGACGTACCTTCAGCCAACTTGGGTAAATCAGCCGGATTCTTAGGTTCAACAGCAACACGCACGACAGGTGAGACCGAGAACTTCATGACTTTCATGTTGTGTGCTTCTTTGAACGTGGTAATGGTACCAGTCTTTACCAAGAACTGATCAACACCAACAAGACCACATATATTACCTAGAGAAAGTAAGAGATTGTTAGCATTATGTATAGAAAATGTAAACACCTTTGTGTTCTTAATTTTCAAAGTCAGTTGGCCGTTCTATTGTCTCTCAAGAAGTTTCAGTACAGGTCTGTGAGAACAATCATCATGTTAACTACTACAAAATTTTGCGATTTGGTACTATGTTGCTTTACAATTTTACTTACCAGAAGGCACATCTTCAATCGCTTCCACATAACGACCCATCATCAAAATTGTACGCTGAATAGCCTTTTCATACAAATCTTCTTTTTTGCCTGGTTGGAAGTTGGGCCCCATGATACGTGCTTTCATACCAGTGCAAACTTTTCCAGAGAATACACGACCAAAGGCATAGAAACGACCCTTATCGGAAGTCGGTACCATTTTTGAGACGTACATCATGAGTGGACCATTTGGATCACAGTTCTAAAAAAAAAAAAAATAATGTAATACAAATTTCATAAACAATGGTAAGTAATTAATCTAGTTAAAAATGGCAATCAGATAGATATTGGTGTCTCTCAATTATATCAGTACAGGTCTGTGGTAAGATCATCATATGTGAGAAGGTTGATAGTAGATGAAATAAAAAAAATGATAAAAAAGAAATATACCTTGATACCGATGGCAGCGTCATCATCAAGTGGACCTTCATATAACATTTCCATACGGTACTTTTGAGCAGTGACAGGAGATGGCAAATGGATAGCAATCATCTGAAGTAAAGCTTCTCCAGCTGGCAACCATGTTCTCATGACAACCTAAAATTTAAATAAAAATTAATATATATGCGCTATATTACAAATAACATAATTATCTCTTTTCTATGCATTATCAGTACTTGTTCATATACTCAACAATAAGATTCTGAAGAGGTGTCAGAAAATTTAGAACAATCATCATTATATATTTTTCTATTCGAGTGATATAGTAATTACCGAATTAACAACTCTTACCTTCAAAAGAGCTTTACCGTCCTTGTCTTTGTCTTCGGGTTTCAAAACAATTCCTAATTTTTGTAACAGAGTATCTGCTTCTTCCTTTTTGTAGTTCATAATGCTATCAAATACCTGTTCATTAAAATTAGAATAGTATTAATTTAAACATAGTATAAGATTGACAGACAAGTTAATAACTACTTTTACCATGTACTTACCTTGTAAATTGGATCTAAAACATACATGCAAAATGATCTCTTGTTATCAGATTCTCTTTGTTTACTCCACTTCTTTGCTTTGGGGTTAAAGAACGATTCTCCCCACAATCTTCTCATGAGTTTCACTACGTCAATTTTGAATTTCTCGGCGTACATTTCAGAGAATTGTTTCAACGTGAACGCCCACCCGTGAAGACCAGAACCGAAGCCAACAGATCCTCTGCTAGGATCTACCTATTTACAACAAACAGCAATATTATAATAAAAGTTTTTCACATAAAGTGAAAAAAAATGCTTCACTTACTCGAACTTCACCCATGGGACCATCATCGTCAGAGTATGTGGCAATAATTACGTTAACGTTTTCAACAATACGTTGGAAAGTTTGATAAAGATCTTCACTGTCAAGCTGAAGTTCCAACAAAGCTCTGTCCATCTTGTTCATGAACAGTACAGGCTTAATACGCTCGGCTATGGCTTGGCGAAGTACAGTCTCAGTTTGTACACAGACACCTTAAAAACATCAATATTAACATTAACATCAATATTAAATTAAGTATAACGATACAGATATATGAAAAATGTTTTGTTGTAGTAATTGTGTTGTAGCATGTTGGTAAAAGACATAAAGATAGAGGTCCACCAACAGCGTTTGAACACATTTGCTTTTAATCTTCTTCCATTGATACACGATCAACACTGTCCATGTGTATTAGTCAGATAAACCAGCTAATGCACTACAGAGTAACACTTTTTGTGCTGGAAGGAATTTCATGGAATGCAAAAAGATTAGCTATAAAATGCTTACCAGATACACAATCGACAACCACGAGGGCTCCATCAGTTACACGGAGAGCAGCCGTTACTTCACTGGAGAAATCTACGTGTCCAGGGGAATCGATCAAGTTGATCAAGAAACCCTTCTCTTCCTTGTCTCTTTGGTCAGGGTTTTCAATAAAAACTAAATCTTTCTCCTCAAGGGCGAAATACATAGAAATGGCGCTGTAAAAATAGGTTAACTATTAGTTATAGAAAAATGACTGCTTGCAAATACCTATAAGAAACTTACGTGGATTTAATTGTGATACAACGTTCCTGTTCATCCTTGCGCGTATCTGTGAATCGAGTCTCTCCAGCTTTGGCACCGGCGATAATACCAGCCTTAGACACAAGGGAGTCAGTCAAAGTTGACTTTCCATGATCAACGTGCGCTATGACAGACATATTTCGGATGTTCTTCTTTTTGTCCATCATGGCACGTATCTCGTCCACCGTGAAGTTCACCTAAAATAGAAAGCATTTTGTTAAATATATACAATATATTC